GTACTTTAAATATTAGCAAAATTAGTCTTTTGGTTGAGACATATCTGTTAGGTTGTTCTCTGTGTATGGTGATATTTGCTACCTAGATTTTCCAATTTTAATGCAGTTGAATTTTTCATTGTTTTATGACTTCTAGGATTTGTACCACCCTTCCCACAAGTATCATGTGCTAAATTCTCCTAAGTGTTTAGGTCTATCACTAAACCTTTTATTCTGTTCCCTCTTTCATCTGCAGTACTCCCGCTTTACCTGTGGGAGATATATTCCAAGACAACTAATGAATGCCTAAAACTTTGGATAGTACCAAACTCTACACTGTATATACTGTTTTTTCCTATATGTACATACTTGTGATGAAGTTTAACTTAAAAGTTAGTTACAGTAAGAGGTTAACAGTATGTTAAAAATAGAATGCAATAATATACTAAAATAAAAAGTTATGTGAATGTGGTCTTTCTTATTGCACCCTTCTTGTGATGATATGAGATGATACGGGGCCTGTATCATGCGGTGAAGTGAGGTGAATGACACAGGCGCTGTTACATAGCCTTATAATACATTGTAAGGGTTACTTGAACATAAGCACGGCCTACCAAAACAGAGAGCTGATCTGGGAACTGAGAGCTGCAAACTCACTAGCAGCTGTTTACACAGCACAAACACGCTGGGCGAGGGGGTGTTCATGTGCTGGGCCAGACGGAGCAGGACAGTGCCAGACTGCATCACGCTATCCAGAAAGGCATGCAATTTAGAAGTTGAACTGTTTATTTCTGGAATTTTTCACTTAACAGTTTTGGATTGCTGTGGACCCTAGATAGGAAGAACTATGGCTAGGAACCATGATAAGTGGGAACTACTAAAAATATTCAAATGAGCTTGTCTGGTTTGATTAACTTCAGGAGAACCGACCTTTTTGTGTTCCTAAGTGTCCCTATGTAAGCATATATATTTAACCTCTCTGCTTTCCCAGGTATTTCTTTTTTTGTCCTTCAGAATCACTTTGAAGTTGTCTTCAGCCTAGGCATTTACCTTTTTGGATGTTATGGACATGAGATTTTTTTTTTTTTTTTTTATGTCTCTAGTTGTTATTTGTGTATATGCTCTGTGTTGATAATTTTACATATTTAGCAAACTGGTTTTCTTTAAGCAAATAAAATTTCATGAATTTAGTACGATAAATCTTTATTGGTTCTAAAACAGTAGGGAGATTTTCAAAAACTTACCTAAAAAGATCAAAAATGGTCAGGTAAGTATAGGCAGTTAAAGCTGCAAGACAGCAAAAAGATTAAAATGTTACTTAATCAAACGCCCAGTCCATAGAGCATGAGACTCTTAAAATGTTACTTAATCTAGTCTTAACAAAATAGCAAATCATCAAAATTTTTCACATTAGGAGCTACTGATTACCAAAAAATCTAGTCAATAACCAACCTCACACGTTGGCAATTACTATAAATTTATTTAATACATGTAGCCAATGTGGGTTACTACAAAAGTTCACTTTGGAATCTGATTTCTGCACTAGGAAAAAATGAAGCAACAAATGTTCAAAAGTCATGTGATCAAGTTTCTGGCTATTCTGTCATCTCAGTACTACTGAACATGTCTATGCTGAATACCAACAGGTAGCAAATAATGATACATCAAAACATCATTGGTCAAGGCACAAGGAAAACAATCACAGAATTCCTTTGTTAAGGAAAAGCCAAGAAATCTTAAAATCAGGCTTATAAATTGTATAAATTAGTTTTAGTCTCTCACACTGAAAAGACATCTCAGTTTCACAAATGAATTGAAAGTTTTTTTTAAAAATAGGAGTTTATTCATTTATTTATTTATTTTTGTCTTTTTGAGACAGGGTCTCGCTATGCAGTTCGGGTTGGCCTTGAGCTCACTTTGTAGCCCAGGTCTGTCGTGAACTCACAGCGATCCCCTTGCCTCAGCCTCAGAAAATAACAGCTCATTTAAAATGATAAAATTCTAAAGAAAAAAAAAAAAAACCCAGCCAAACTTTATAGCTCACAGGGCATTTTAAAATACATTTTCTCAGAAGAAAGCCCATATATATATGAATGCTATATATTCTTCCATTTAAAACATTATACATTTCAGAATATACTCTATAAAAAGGATATACACCTTTATTTAAAATCAGACAAATAAAAATAAAAGTGAAACTAGCTCCATAAAAATAAAAATGGTGACATACCTATACTATTAGTAGAACTGCACCACATAAGCAGGAAGCCGGTACATATCAAGTTTATTACACCAAAGAGCAGTATCTTCCAGGTCTGTGAAAAGGAAAATCACTTATCTGTACAATGCTAATCAACTTTACTGGGTCCATTCAAGTTGCTGTAATTATACTCTAATGTTCAAAAGAATAAGTAGAACTTCCTTCAAAAAACTGGCCAGGTGGTGTGGTGGTGTACACCTACCATACCAGCACTCTGGAGGCTGAGGCAGGAGGATCACTATGAGTTCGAGGCCAGCCTGGGCTACATAGTGAATTCAAGCACAGCCTGACCTACACAGCAAGACCCTGCCTCAAAAAATAAAAGTCTATATTTACTGAAACTATCATCAACCAAGTTATTATTATAATGGTATTATAAAATACAAATCCAAAGGCATAATTTCAATAGGGGAAATTCTAAGAGAAAATAAACTCTGACAGAAATGCTCAAATAGTTGAGAAAAACCTGCATGTTGATCATTTTTTCTCCATAAATCTGTATGTAAAGATAATGATAAAGGGGCTGGGGATTTAGCTCAGCGGCAAAAGCGCCTGCCTGGCAAGCGCAAGGTCGTGAGTTCGGTTCCCGGTACCGGAGAAAAACCAAAAAAAAAAAAAAAAGATAATGATAAAGCAAGTGGGGCAAAATGTAAGCAACTGGTAAACTTGAGTAAAGGGCTCACTGGCGCTCCTTGTCCTAATCTTGTAATTTTTCTACAATTTTAAAATTACATCAAAATAGTATCCCAGGGGGCTGGGGATTTAGCTCAGCAGCACAGCGCCTGCCAGGCAAGCACAGGTCGTGAGTTCAATTCCTGGTACTGGAAAAAAACCAAAAACCAAACACCAAAAACCAAAAACCAAAATAGTTATCCCAAAAAGGGAGTACTTGATAATACCGAATGAGTCATATGAAATAGGTCGGCAAAAAGGAAAATTTCAACAGCTTAAAAGTACATAGAAGAGAGAGAGAACCTAAGATAAGCCTTGCAAAAAGGATTTAGTCAGAGTTAGAAAAAAGGGCATTCCAAAATAAAGAGAGAAAATAACAGACATGTGAAAGGGGCAGAGGTGCTGGGCATGCAGGTATCTGGGAGAAGCCAGGCACCACAGTACAAATGTCCTGGAGCAGGAGACTACCTGCATGAAGACAGCCAAATCCCAGTGGGTAAGGAGTCTGGGGTGACATCATGAAGTGTCTTGTATGGCAAGAAAAGAAAGAGCATTTATTACAAATAAATGGCTGGGCGTGGTGGTGCAAGCTTGTAATCCCAGCACTCGGGAGGCTGAGGCAGGAAGATCATTGTGAATTTGAGGCCAGCCTGGGCTACAAAGTGAGCTCAAGCCTGAACTGCACAGTGAGACCCTGTCTCAAAAAGACAAAAAAAAAAACCAAAACAAAACATTTAAATGATGACAGTATCTTTACTGTTCAGGTGTTCCTATACAGCAGTCCCCGCTGTCTACAGGGCATATGTTTTAAGGTCCCCCAGTGGATGCCTGAAACCACAGACAGAACCCTATAAATGCAGAACCCCATCTTTGCTATATACACATATCTATAATAAGGCTTGATTTAAAATTGGGCATAGTAAGATTAAAAATAATAACTAAAAATAAATAGAAAAATTATAATGATATAATAGAAGTTTTATGAAATGGTCTATCACTCAAAATATTTTCCTGTGCTGTGTATTTTAACCTCAGCATATAGCTTTCTTCTTTATTAAATTGAGAACTAGCACCTTCCACTTAAGGTAGTACCTTATTCTGGCATACCTAAATTGCCAGCATCACTGCTCTTGCTCTTTAGGGCCGTTATTAAGCAAAATAAGAGTTGCTTAAAAAGAAGCATAGAGGCCAGGCATGGAGGCACACACCTGTAATCCCAGCACTCAGGAGGCTGAGGCAGGAGGATTGCTGCAAGTTTGAGGCCAGCCTAAGATATAAGGTGAGTTCAAAGCCAGCCTGAACTACATAGTGAAACCCTGTCTCAAAAAAAAAGCACAGTGATATCAATGCTGGAACCAGTTGATCTGATAACCAAGATGGTTACTAAGTGACTAACAGGTAGTTAGTATACACTGTACAAGGGGATGGTTCACGTCTCAGGTTGGACAGAGTAGGACAGTGAGAAATTCCATCACGCTACTCAGAATGGCGCACAATTTAAAATTTATGAATTGTTTATTTCTGGAAGGTCCCAGTTAGTAGTTTTAAACTGCAGGTAATTGAATTCATGGAAAGAGAAAGAGCGGATGACTATATTGGTTTTTTTCCCTACTACCTGCTGTAGGGTATACTGTGCTTCAGTAAAGCACATGCTTAAAGAGTCTCTTCTTTATGTAACATAACTGCTTTCCATCAACAGCACAGAGCTGTATGTATCTGTTCTAAGAGGTCATGCTAAGTGGAGTAGATCTCTAAGAAACAGATCAATTCTCTAACTTTGGCTTTTTAATATGAAGAACATGATAATATTTCCAAATACTAGACTTGAGTTCTAATTATATTCCAAGGTTTTAGAAACCACAGATATAATAGTAAATAACAAAGAAAAGAAGTTTTCAGTTTAGTTCACAGTACAAAGCCAATGTCACTGACTGTACTTACTATATTCCATCAAAACTGTCTTAACTTAAAACCCATTAAATATACATTGGGTGCATATTTTGTATGCTTATAAAAAACTGAGCAAAATAGGCAGTCACTGCCCTCACAGAATTTATAACTTAGATGATACTAGAAGAATGAAAATCACAATTACCAGCTTTATATAGGTAGCCAAAAAGAATATCAATTAATTCTTTTTACTTACAGTATCAAAGCATGATATAGTTTTCCTGCTTTATGTTAAAAATGAGAAAACATGGCTTAAGAGTACATTCACTTAATCTTTTATAAAATTAATAAAAATGGAGCTAGGTGTAATCTCAGCACTTGGGAAGCTGAGGAAGAAAGGTCACTGTGAGTTTAAGGCCAGCCTGTGTTACATAGTGAGACCCTGTCTCTAAAAAAACGAAAACAAAACATAAAAACAAAGGCAACTATAAGAAAAAACATTCTCTTTAAAACACTTTAGAAGCTGGGCGTGGTGGCACATGCTGTAATCCCAGCACTCAGGAGGCTGAGGCAGGAGGATCATTGCAAGTTCGAGACCAGCCTAGGTTACAAAGTGAGCTTGAGGCCAGCATGAACTGCATAGCGAGACCCTGTCTCAAAAGAAAAAAAAAACAAAACATTTTAGAGTTAGAATAAAACTTTTAACAAACCTTGTTTCCTTCCACCAAAGCAAAACAAAGGAACATCAAAACAGTAATTTTACATCAAAAAAATTATCCAACACGGAAAAATAAAAACTGTGGTGGGATCAACAGCATTTTCTTTTTTGTTTTTTTTAATAGTGCCAAAAAGTTTATTTGAAAAGCACAGGGTAACTGAGTATGGGAGAAACCAGCTCTGCAGAGCAAACTTGAGCCAAACAAAAAGAAAGAATAAAAGCAAAAATAAAAATACATGGGCTATTGTGGGAACTCATGCATGACAGCCAACAGCAATTTCTATTAATCTTAAAACTTACCTTTCATATAATGTTGTCTGTGCAATAATTCAAATTGAGGTTAAGAAATAACTTACCCTTCGGTCAGCTGCTACCAGTCTAAATTCCTGTAATAACTTGCCAAAAAAGGATCTCTGTGGTTTTCGAAAGAGATGAATTGTCCCCTTTAAAACAAAAAGAAAATACACAAATTAGCATTTAAGTATGTAATCTTCATCACAGTTCCTGTGATGTTATAGTACTAATATTTACTGAGTATCCCAATATCCAATAACATATGCCAACCACTTTTCTAGACACTGTACATGTATAGATAAGTAATACAATTACCCCAGAGGGTAAAAACAATTTTTAGTAACTTTTCCAAAGTTACAAAGCTAGTAAATAGCTGAGCAGGAATTCAAATACATTTTAGCTCTAGTTTCTTGTCTTTATTTTTAAATCGATATAGCAACTTTGGCCAGAAGAAGAAATAGGAAAAAAGATTAAGGAAATTTTACCAAAGAGCTTTACTCAAAAGAAAATATAAGTCACCTAATTAAAATGAAATATATCTGAGTAACTACTTTAAAGATAATAATATGCAATGTATTAACTATTTTTATTCTCTTATCATCTTGTTATGAAATTTTGTTTTACCTTTTTTCCATAAAATTAAAAAAAGTAAAAAAAAAATATGTGAAAGTTCTCACATCTATGATGATAAGACCTATGATGATAAAATCTATGCTAGTAAAACCCCTGAGGTTCTCACTAGGCATTCATGCAAAGTATCTGACACCCTATGAGGCAGCCCTTGAAAAGGCCTAGCAATGAGGTTACCAATGACAGAGGAGACCAAGTAGCAACCAGAGGGGATTTACCACCTAAGTTTAAGAAACCAAGTGGAGAAGCCTTCACAGGCTTCAAACACCTATGAGTGATTAATGTATGATAAAGGTAGTATTTAATAGTAGTGAGATACAGAGGAGACAGGGTCAGGAGACAGGGTCTTGAAGTTCTGTAATGCAGGCTGGCCTTGAACTTACTATGTAGCCCAGGCTTCCTGGAACTCACGGTGATCTTCCTGTCTCAGTCTCCTAAGTGCTGGGATTACAGGCAGGAGCCACCACACCTGGCTTACAGCTACTTTTAATGAGAAAATTTTGTTATACCACAAGCAAGTAATTGTTTCTAGGAGAAAATTTCCTTCATAGCTGTCAATGGGTCAGAGAATAATTTGACTCATTAACTACTACATATTTAAATATTTGAATTTTTATAAAACATTTTCTTTGATAGTAAAGGCCACAACCAAAATGCATTTCTAACTCACTGAAGCGGGGCAATTTGATTCAAAACCTGAAGCCCCAGGAAAGCACTGGAACCAGGTTAATTATGACTGTAAAAAAGTTTCAGACTTAATTCAAGCAGAGCCATGATTTTCCGACATAACTAGAGAAGGTTTTAGTAGTTAAAAGAAGGTATATCTCATTTTTTCAAAGTTTAGATATGTCATTAGGTGCATTATGTTGAGACCCTGGGAAGGCAGAAAAAGGGCAAAGAATTGGAAATAGGACAAACAAAAAACAGTACCAGAATGCCAATAATTCTCAATGCCAGGTCAGGTGTACATAGGGGCTTATGTATTACAGTCGCTCTACTTCTTCTGTACATATTTGCTTGAAATTGTCATAATAAAAACACAGTAAAGTCAGGTCTGGTGGTGCACACATATAATCCTAGCACTCAGGAGGCTGAGGCAGGAGGATGATGAGTTTGAGGACAGCCCGAACTACACAGCTAGACCCAGTCTCAAAAAAACAGAAAAACAACACAGTAGAACACTAAAGTAACAAACTTTTAAAAAGAAAGATAAACCACAAAAGTGTTACTAATTTGGAAATCCAAGTAAAGACCAGTATTTGTGTAACCCTAAGGCCCTGATAAGCTAATCCAATATAAATGGAACAATATGTTACTTTCATTTGAGGTGTTAATAAATGTTAATAATTTTAAAGAATTACATGTGCAATATTTTGATCTCAAGGATAAAAGTGCTGCTCAAGAATTGTGACCTTTTGATAATTTCTATTTAACTTCAATCCACTTCTTTAAATTTCAAGACTAAGATAATCAGTATGAACATTGGGGGAAAAGACACAAGAAATGAAGGACTTGTAAGGATTATACTGATAAGGATTGGATGTCAGGCATGATGAACAATGCAAACAAATGGAATAGCATATATAAAAAGGCCCAGTTCCCTCCTTTTATCTTTAAAAAAAAAAAAAAAAAAAAAAGGCCCAGTCATACAGCATGTTTTGCAAACCATTCCTTGTAGTCTAATAGGGATGCATTCTGTGTGTGTATGTAGGAGGTTATAAAGGTAAGATGCTTGAGTATGGATGGTTTTGTATGTGATGCTAAACAGTGATGTTGCCAGACATGCACACCTGTAATCCCTGCACTTGGGACCCTGAGGCAGGGACAGCACCACGGAGTTTGAGGCCAGCCTGTGCTACATAGTGTGTTCAAGGACAGCCTGAACTACATAGTGAGACCCTGTCTCAAACAGACAACAAAACTCAAACAAAAAAAGGTGATGTCAGGCTGGGTATGGTGGTGCACGTCTGTAATCCCAGCACTCAGGAGGCTGAGGCTGGAGGATCGTCCCAAATTAAAGACCAGCCTGGGCTACCAAGTAAACTCAAGGCCAGCCTGAACTGCAGAAGGAGACCCTGTCTCAAAAAGATAAAAAAAAAAAAAAAGTGATGTCTTGAGGGCTACAGCAAACAAATGGAAACACTTTAAGCAAAGAAGTAATAAGGTCAAATTTTAGGAATATAATGGATGCTATACATTGATGAATACTTTGAGAAAAGCATAGCTGGAGGCTGTGCTAAACCTAAACCCCCCAAAACAAAGTTTTACCCACTTTTCACGTCTGCAAAGAAGGATTATAGAAAATTTACAAAATCCGACCATATTCACTTAAGGACGAAATTCTTACCGTGACTACTAAGACACAGAAATACAGTCCCTTTTTCAGCTACGAAAAAAGCCTCAATGAATTCTTCTGATAATTTCAAGAGGCGCACAGGACTGACATCAGAAATAACCACCTCTCAATATCCGACAGAACTGAAAGATGTGCAGATATGATTTCTAAAGACCTAATATGACTACTTCTAACAAATCTGACCGAGAAGACATCCCAGCAACCATCACGGGTGCGGGGATCTTTCAGTAGTTTCCACCAACACAGCAGCAGTAAGACGCGCTCCCGGCACGTTCACTGCGCGCAGTCAGTACTGGTCCGTATGGACGAAGCTGCCTTATCAGGCTACCAGCCCTGCAGCAACCCCGAGCAGCGGAGTGGGTCATCTGCCTGAAAAGCCGACTCATGGCTTTGTTTCCGCCGGCCTGACTGTCACTGCACTAGGCATCATCCTGATACAGTAGACGCTGTCGCTGCGGGCTGGTTTTCAGGTCTTCTGTCAGCGGAGGAATCGCCGATGCAGTCAAAGGTTTTTATTTTCACACCAAGGAAATCTGGGCTGGGGGCAGGTCATAAACTCTCCAGGTGCCAAAGGCTCGGCCAGGGGCGGGGCCGGGATCCCCAAAAGCAAAGAAACTGGGTGAGCGACAGAGAGGGGTCTGAGTGAGCTCTGAGGGAACCACTTGGGTGACAGACAGCTCTCCCGGGGGACCCGGCCGCGACTCCGATGACCCCTTCTCTGGGCCGCTGACGCATTTCGAGGCCGGTTCGAGACGATAAAAGGAATCACCTACGACAGGAAACCTCACGCCCCCACACCCAACTCACCATGATAAGGAGCCACAGCTCCCGCCGGAAAACGCTCTGGGGGTTCGTTTTTCTCCAGTGCGGAAGGGGCGGGCCCTCAGGTCCCATTGGCTGCGAGCGACGCGGGGGCGGAAGTGCGTGCTGGCCACGGGGCCCCGCCCCCTTCCCGGCTTCCCCCGCTTCTGGCGGAAGTGAGGGTGACAGCCAGAGCAGCTGCTGTGAGGGCTCTGTGGACCTGTTTGTGACTGGAGCGTCTGAGGCCAGTGGCAAGGAGTAATTAGGGTTTATTTTAACGTTCGGGAAATTTTCCTGAGTATTGAAACGCTTTTAGCTATGTTGTGTGGATTTAATCTGACGAAATGGATGGTACTCCCGTTTTACAAATGAAGAAACCTGAAGGTTAAACTTGCCTAGAGTCATGAATGTAATTTGCTCTAATAGTTTAAATGGAATTTGGGGGGCTGGGGATTTAGCTCAGCGGCACAGCACCCGCCTGGCAAGTGCAAGGTCGTCAGTTCAATTCCCGGTACCGGAATAAAACCAAAAGACCAAAACCAAAAAACCAAAACAAAATGGAATTTGGAATGACTAATTACAAAATACAGTGGTCTACTCCCTAAAATAATGTTTAAAGTCTCTACAATGTTAACTTTATCATACAAGTAATGTTAATTGGAAAAACTTAGAAAACAAATATTCCATAAAAATTTTGGAGCATGTGTGTACCAGGTACTGGTCTCATAAAGTTACATTCTAGGAAGAAAAAACGGGATACAGCAGGGGAAATTTTTTTTTTTAATTTTTAGAAGTAGTATCAGGCAGAAATTAGGACAGTACTAGCTGGGCCTGGTGGTGCATGCTTGTAATCCCAGCACTTAGGGAGGCTGAGGCTGATGCAGGAAGATCATAACGATTTCGAGACCAGCCTGAACTACATACGAAACCATATATATCTTAAAGCAAAACACCTCCAAAAGAAAATATGACAGTGTTAGAGAGATTAACTGGGTGGATCATTTACAGGGCTGGTCAGGGAGTTTCTCTAAGGGGATGAAATTTAACTTCAGAATGGCAGAAGTGTTATTTTTTTTTTCCAGCCAGAATACACAGCTAGTGCAAATACTGTATGCTAAATAAAAAACCAGCAGGCTTAAGGCCGAGTGTGGTGGTGCTTGCCTGTAACCTCAGGAGGTTGAGGCAGCAGGATCGCTGCGAGTTCAAGGGCAGACTGGGCTACTTAGTGAGTTCAAAGCTAGCCTGAACTACATATCGAGACCCCGTCTCAAAAAATAAAATAAAAAAATAAAGCGCAGGCTTATAAGACCTGAAAGAAGGCAATAGGCTATCCAGTATGGAAGGGGAGGGGGGCATCAGGGGCTGCGCCCATTGTCTGCAAAAAATACTAAAACGCAAAATTTGGAATATGGTTTCTTCTGAATGTGTATTATTCTCACACCACTGAAAAGTGGAAAAAAATTTAAGCTAAACCATTGTGAGTTGGGAATCATTTTGTTTACTGAGACAGTGTTTGGCTTTATAGTTTAGGCTGGCCTTGAACTTTCTATGTAGCCCAGGCTGGCCTCCCAGCTGCAGCAATCCTGCCTAAGCCTCTTCAGTGCTGGGATTGCAGGTGTGTGCTACACACCCAGCTACTGGAATCATTTTTTAAAGGAATAGTCCATGGGCAACAGATGGAAACCTAAACCCATTGAAACTTCCCCCAAAGCAAGCCCTAAGGCTTAATGATTGAAACCCTATCAGATTGAAAACTGTTGAAAAAATGTCTCCCTTCATCCTGCTTACTCCTTATTCCAGGCTGCCCACCATGTGACTAACATCTTCACTTTCTCCCAAACACCCATACTACACTGTCCATCTTTACAGGTAATCTCACCACACTTGGTCTTTAAACACCAGCTTTTAGGCCACTTAAAACCAGCTTACCCACTGAACTTTGATCTGAAACACTGCAGAAGAGTCAACATACCAGGCCCAGGACTGTTAACTGTGAAAGTATTGCTTGAAACACTGGCCCTTGGCTGGTATTTGGGAACTTGGATTTGGAGGCTTTCCCCTGTTCTCTAACAAATGGAGTGGCTCGCTGTTCATCAGGGTTAGGACTTTTCACACATACTGTCACTTGTTGCTGAAGGAATCAAATGCATGCTGTGTGACTCTGCAGGCTGAGGACTCATGGATGTTGGTTCTTGGTTTTGTCAGGACTTGCTCAATTTTCTTCTTGGTCTTTGCTAATCTTGCTTTATATCTTTTTGTTGTAATCCACTGTCAAATTATATGCTGAGTACACCAAGTCAATCATCAAACCTGCCATGGCCTTGAGGCTTCAACCACCTAGTGACTAAATAGTTTAGGAAGGGGACAGGTAAGAGGGCAATTCATTTAAATTCAACCTGTTGTATTTCAGCTGTACTATTTATTGTCTGATGTTTTATTCTTTCTGAATTCCATTTAAATCAACTACATACTTAGTAATCTATTTTATCTTCTCATGGCTTTTTAGCTCTACTGCACTGTTTTTGGTGAGATTAGAGCATGAATCCTCAATTTATTAGTCTACCTTATATACAAGTGTACTTAAATACTATACTACATTTTGTACGGAATAACCTTTGCACTGTTTTTGTCCTAATTTTACTTCTACAAATACTGTTTAATTTCTTTAGCTTTAAATAGCTAACAGGTATGTAGAAAAATTAACATCATTTCCAAAGTTTTAAGTTTCTTCTCAGAAATATAGGTTCCCATTAATGATAATTTTCGTTTTTTTTTTTTTTTTTGTACCAGGGATTGAACTCAGGACCTTGTGCTTGCCAGGCAGGTGCTTATGCCATTGAGCTGTATCTCCAACCACTTGTGTTTGTTTTTTTAGACAGTCTCACTGTGTACTTTGTGGCCTTGAACTTGCAATGATCCTTGTGTCTCAGCCTCCTCAGTGCTATGACTACAGGCTGGCCTGGTGCTGCCGTGCAAGGCTTTAGCCTAAAGAATTTAAGGCATTTCCTGTAAGCTAGTCAGGAAGAAATTATTTTCTCTCACCTGAAAAAGCTTTTTCTTTAACATTTTGAAGATATCTTCACTAGATATAAAAAAATTTATATTGTTCAATCTTTTCACCTGACAGATGTCTCTACTCAATTTCCTGAATTTTACCATTTCTAATTAGGTTATCTAATACTATTCCACTACCACCTGCCCCTGGGCCGTTGGGGGGGGGGGCGCGGCTCAACAATTGTATGTCCAAATGTGGTCTTCATTCAACTTACTTTTATTCAGCTTGGGATTCACTGAAATCTTTTTTTCTTTTTGAGACAGGGTCTCACTATGCAGCTCAGGCTGGCGTTGAGCCCACTTTATAGCCCAGGCTGGTCTCGAACTCACAAGGCTCCTCCTGCCTCAGCCTACCCAGTGCTGGGATTTCAGGCATGCACTACCATGTCCAGCCTCACTGAAATACTTGAATCTGTTGCTTTTCAACAGTTGTGGGGAGTGGGGTGTGGTGGCACACACTTGTAATCCCAACACTTGGCAGGCTGAGCCAGGAGGATCCTTGTGAGTTCAAGGCCAGCCCGGGCTACACAGTGAGCTCAAGGCCAGCCTGAACTGCATGGTAAGACCTGTCTCAAAAAAAAACAAAAAAAAAACAAAAACAAAAAACCAACCACCCCAAAAACAAAAACACAACTGTGGGGAAATTTCAGGCATTATTGCTATAACCATTCTCTTCCCCAATAATCTGCCTCTCCTTTCTCCTCCTGAGCCTCAAGTTACAGATACAGTACACTAATAAGTGTCCCATGAATCTTAAACTTTTCTATTTTCCTTTCTCTCTGAGCTATGGCCTGATAAATTTATTGGCTTGTCTTCTAATTCAATCTTTGTTCTATGTCCCCCAAAATAAAATTTATTTTGGATTACTACTTTTCAGTTCAGATTTGTACTTTTTATTGAGACTTCCCACTGGATTTTCAATTTGTTTCTCTGCTGAATATTATCTATGCATCAACTTCTATATATTCCCCCCCCTTTTTTTTGAGACAAGGAGGGTCTCAGCTGATGAGACCCGGGCTGACCTCAAACTCTTCCTCGAATGGCCCTCCCACCTCATACTCTCTAGCCTTAATGTGTGCACCATTGTGCCTGGGTTATATATTTTCTGTTGACTATGGATCATGTAACTTTTCTCAGATTAGTAATCATTTACTGTGTACTGGACTTTGGGATATACTATGAAGTCTCTGGATTCTATTTTTTTTTCTGAAGAGTATGTTTGCTCTGGCTTTATATGGAAAATAGCTGAAAGCATAAACCCAATGAAATTCCAGTTTCATTAACAAAGAACCTTGATGCTGTGAAACTGTAAGTCTGGTTCCAGTGAGTTTCTTTCCCTTGGTCATAAAACACAGCCCTTAGTGCTAGAATGTTGTCATTCCTTCTCAAGCATGGCCCTTTGTGGGCTTCCACAATAAACACCCAGTGTTTACTCACCCTCTCTTAGTGGAAGTTGAATTTCAAAATTCAATCTACACTGAGACTTCAGTGCTTTCTGCTGGGTTCCTCTGAGTATCTCACTGCACAGGTACAATTTTGGAATCCACAAAGGATTTGAAAGGAATCTGTAGGCAGATTTCTGGGTGTACTTCTCTGAGGCCTTTCCAAGATTTCAAATTTCCAGCTGTTCGAGAAGCCCCACTGATCCCTCAGCCCAGCAAGACTGACACATTTGGCTTGAATTCTATTCCCAAATGTATTGTACAAGCTGGACATTATCCCACTGGGAGAAACAAATTAATGTGGATCTCCACTAGTACAGGATTTCGTGCAGTTTCTGACTGGATTTAGTTACTCTCTAGAGTCTTGTAGTCATTACTTTCTATGTTTTGTTCAGAGCTTATAACTGTTACTGACAAGAGTTACAAAACACTTCATTATCAGACTGAAACCTCTGAAATTTCAGGAAGTTTTAAATTAAAAAAATTAAAGGCAAAATAAAGTTTATAATTTATTTACAATCCATTTAGGATAAAAACCCACTTTATGCAGCTGTACCCTTTAATTTATTTCTTCTGAAGAGAAATACAAAAGATCAGACTAAAACTGAGACAAGCATTTAAAGAAAAATCCTTTGAGTCCAAAAACAAACTGTAAATGGTTTGTTTTACCAAAAGAATTAGTTTTTGTACAAAATATAAAGAATTTTACACTATAAACAAAGACTGTAGAATATGTATTTAAATTGGAATTCTGATATTTCTCCAATTCTTGAGCACAAAGCATACAGTATTTCCAAATCAGAAAGCTAATAACTCAATGGGCAGACTCTCTCAGAAAAACTTTTATCCCTAATATATCTGGAAGGATAGTTTTGCTCAAAATCCAGTATACCAATAAATTTTTAGTTTACAAAATTTTGCCACATTAACATAACACACTAATACTTAATGTTTAAACATTATCTTTTAGGAAATATAACCCAGAGCTTAACACAGTAAATTCAGAAAACCTTAGCAACTTCTGTCAAACATGACGAAACTAATCCCATACCTCCTACCATGTCATTATTCTATTTTCTCCTATTATGTCATTATTTTATTTTCATGGTCCTTCTATGAAAGAAACAAAGCTTGAAAGACAACCTGGTTAGGGTAAGTTATAGAAAATAGTTCTCTAACATCAGATGAACCTCAAACTTGATCATCAAAGAAACTTCTGTACATGCATGGATATTCATACAGCAATATAATTTTGGTCTGTTAAAGATAATATTAAATTGATTTTTATAAACCTTTAGCATTTGAAATCTTTATTATCTAAAAACCTTCCAAATAGAATTATAGTAAGCACAATACTTTTAAAGGAGCCTATATTTAAAAAGTTCATCTGGAATAATAGAATCCTGTGATGATTTGCAGTTATGTAAGTATTGATATTTTAATCCCTTAGTGAAAACAAAGTAAAATTTTATGAATTTTACTGAAAAGGATTTTTTAAATTTACCTAGTTCTTCTAATCGTATATTCTTCATCACTACCTTGTATTATTATTTTATAACTAATGGTTTAACACTCAAGACCTTAAAAAGATACTAGGGTGTGATGGTGCACGCCTATAATCCCAACAGTTGGGAGGCTGAGGCAGGAGTACTGCCATGTGTTTAAGACTGGCCTGGGCTACATAGTTCAAGGCCTGCCTGAACTACATGGGGAGACACTGTTTCAAAAAACTAAAAACAAAACAAAACAAAACAAAACACAAAACAAAAAAACTACCCATGACCTAAAATATGCATAGCTCTGGCTTTTCTTTACCTCTGTTTATCTCAACTCTCATTTTTATCATGTAGAGTTAAAGGTTTGTGATTAAAGAGATATGATTTAAATCATGGCTACAAATAGCATATGATACTAAGAATTCATACTGTATTTATAATAATTCTGTATTTATAATAGTTCTTATGTATTTATAATAATTTTTTAACAAGACAGAAGTAAAATCAAAGAGAATGTATGTCTTTGTTGCAAAGTTCTTATCCAGTAGGGGCAAATGTACTTTAATGTGTTCTCTCAAAACACCTTTCCTAATTGAAGTCTCTGTTACTACTACAAAATTATGCTTTCCACTCATGACATTTTACAAAGCATCACTAAAGCACCAAAGAAAATTCTGTAAACAAACTTTTAACCAGTAAACTAAGGGCAAATATCCATTTGCCTTTATTACAATATTTTAAAGGCCATGATATGCGTCTCTACTTCCTACAATGAACATTTTTATAATAAAAATCAAGCATATTTATACAAACAAGAAACAGAATTGCTGTACATGTTGGAGAAACTAGACATACAGACTACAACTTTTTAGTTAATAAAGTGAGCACAAGAAACCTATAAAATGTATGCAATGTATATAAAAATTCAGTATTTTAGCTTCATTGAAGGGATTCATAGTTATTAAGAATAAAGTACGGTAGTTCCACTGGCTTATAATTATACTGTAAACAGTAAGAAAGTGATAAACAATAAATTAGAAATTTCTTATCTCCCAGTATTTCCCTCTTTTTGTACTGGAGCCACTTTGTAACAGTTAAAATTGGCTCCTTTGAGTATCAGAATTTTGGCAGAAAATGAATTCCAGATGGAATAAATTAACAGTCTACAGCAGATTCCTGACACATTAGGAAAAAAAAATACTGCAGGTCATGAGGACTGATCTACATATTACATGACAGAGAAACTCAAACCTTTAAACCTGTTCTATTTTACTAGCTTTGCTTTGTTGTCATTATATTGCTTTCTAAATTATTTGGCAGTAAGTAAGGTATCAGAAAAAATAAAAACAAAAAACTGTTTAATGTCTGTAGATTTATGAAGAAAAAAGTCTCAAAATGGCCTTTTCCTATTGCTGGTAGGAAAGTTTCATTTGGCACTCTGAATTTATAAAAGGAAAAGAAAAAAAGGAAACTTAAAAAGTGTTTGGTGTTCTAATTACAGGTTCTTAAGAAAAACATAGGAAAGGAAAATTGGAAAAATTACTCTTTTAAGAAAAACATATTAGAAGACAGACGACCACAGGCTTTTGTGTCTTCTACCATTCACTGTCTCTGGAATACTTTCACCTGCAACACAATATACAAATTATTATTTACACTAGGATTATATTGGCAAAGACCACCAGATTCATTTTTTGTTGTGCTCTAATTTAAGTGCCCATTGAGATACCATGTCCACCAAGGCAAGAAGGCCTTAAAAAACACAATATTCCATTCACATTGTATATTGTTTTCTTGTTCAAGTTTGGTACACAAATAACTGTAAAACTCTGAAAAGTCCTGTAAACTTAGGTTGAGTTTTTGTAGCTGATAACCGTTCACTGAAGATCAGATGCTTCTCTCTTGTTAAATAAATGTTCTACAGGCTTACAAAGGCATTTCTTTAAACAGTAGTATCTCCAAAGTCCTTGTTCCAACGTATGTATGCTTCTAAAGTTTGAGGACTCACACTGCGTTTTATTTTTTTCAAGGATTCAGTGAAGTCAGTTAATCGGATATTTCTCATCTAGATTTTAAAAAAACACATGACATACAAATGATAAACACATATACAATAGTGGATTAAGCTAATGGTATGTTATAAATGTACAGAAATTACCCTTAGTCTTACCAATCATTTTAATACTATATTAGGCAAGTTTGCTATATAAGACACTTTATAAAAATAACATAGTAGTTACTTTATTAGTTGTGTTTCATTTCTTGGGTACTAGATTTTCTTTTTTTATTTTTTTAGTAACTGGGAAGTGAATTCAGGGCTTCACACCTGTTGAGCAAAAACTCTACTGCTGAGCTATAGCTCCAGCCTTTTAAAAGTTTTTTTGTTAGGCTGTGTGTGGTGGTGCACAACTGTAATCCCAGCACTTACGAGGCTGAGGCAGGAGGGTTGCCGTGAGCTCGAGGCCAGCCTGGGCTACATAGTCAGTTCAAGGCCAGCCTGAACTACATAGTGAAACCCTGTGTACAAAAAAAAAAATTGGTGTTTAAATCCTGAAAAGGGGTCTTGCTGAGTGTTCAAATTGGGTTCAAACTTGTCATCCTTTTGCCCCACTCTCCAAAGGAAGTGAGATTACATAGAGGCCTGTGCCAGCATACCAGGGAGGTCTTAACTAGTTTTGTAGTGGTACCAGAGACTGAAACCAGAGCCTTTCAATGAGCGACATCCCCAACCCTTTTCTCACTTTTTATTTTGAGACAGGTTCTTGTTAAGTTCAGTAAATTGCCTAGGCTGTGCTCCAACTTATGATCCTCCTGCCTCAACTTCTTAGAAAGTTGGGATTTTAGGCAAATGCCTAAAATATCCATGGCCAGCTGGATATTAACATTTTAAAGCATAATGTTTTGTCACTATAAAAACAAAACAGTCATAGCAATTCAGAAAATAACATAGAAAAAATAATCCCTCACAATTCTACCATTCAGATGTACAATTATTATTTGGCTTATTTCCTTCCAAATCTTTTTCTAGACAGTATTAGAATCATGGGATTTTACATTAAGTCTTACTTATCATAAGCATATGCTAGCTAAATTCATGCAAAGTTTATTAGAAAAAGGCGAAGGTACAAGAAACACATGAAACTAAAATTACTGCTCTTTAACTGCACTGGATAGCAGACTATGTGTGAATCCAAAACTTTCTAATATTAATATTACTTATCAGATCATATGGCTGCATATGCCTGTAATCTCAGCACTGAGGGAGGTTGAGGCAAGAAGACTGTAAGTTTTAGTCTTGCCTGGGCAACCTGATGAGACTATCACAAAATAAAAAGGGCTGAGCATGTAGCTCAATGGTAGAGTACTCCAAGGTACAATCCTCAGGACTTAAAAAAAAAAAATTAGCTGGGCATGGTGGTGCACATCTATAAGCTCAGCACTCGGGAGGCTGAGGCAGGATCACTGCAAGTTTGAGGCCAGTGGGGATACAAAGTGAGCTCAAGGCCAGCCTCAACTGCATAGTGAGACCCTGTATCAAAAAAAAAAAAAAAATATTGGTGTTACTAACTGTCATTAGTATATATCTTTGTGGGAGGACCAGCTGGATGATTCTCCTTGAAAGAGCAATTGTCTCCATTTAGGCTAAACCTGGCCCTATTTCTGTGCACTGATCCACTCTCACACTCAACCACGCTTGAGCCACTCCCCACTTCACGAATGAATAAAACTGGGGTTTGGCCCTCGGTCAAGGCTTTTGCTCTGGTTGCCCATCATTCTATCTGGACTTAGGATGCCCTTGGCTCACTACAACTATAAATATGCCTGAGTGTCTTTATTCTCACCATGCATTGCACTGGAAGTGGTAGACTGGAATTAATTTACTAAAATTCCAATAACCTTTCCATGGGATTACAAATGTGGAGTTTTGAGGTTCAGAAAGGGCTTTCTATATATCTTCCCTATATTTGGCCCCCAAATAAGAGGATTTTAGACAAAACTTCAACGAACTTCACTCATGTCCAACACATCATATTTAAACTAGACTGTTAAAATGGGAGAGGAATCTGGGGTTATACCTCAGTGATAGAGCACTTGTCTGGGTTCTACCCCAGCACCAGGAAAGACAAAGACAGGGAGTGAAAGCGCAAGTGTACGGGCTTTCTGAATAATGTAGTTGATTAACTACAATGTACAAGATGCTTCATCAGACAACCACAAGATTACCCAGAAGCTTGAGGACTGTCAAAATATCCTTGCATACCTTCACCATCTCAATGGCTATTGAAAATTTGAGCAATAAATATCTCTAATACTTAAGTTATAATTTGTTTGGTAGTTTCTTTTTTTTTCTTTTTTTGGTTTTTTTCCAGTATTGGGAATCGAATTCATGACCTTGCGCTTGCCAGGCAGGCGCTGTGCCACTGAGTTAAATCCCCAGCCCCTAATTTGTTTGATTTCAAAAATTTGTTTGAAATTTTTACTCATCATTGTGCTTATCCAATTTTATATTCTGCGTAATTTTTCCCCAAAGAAATGCTTCAGCATCTCAGAGGAGACCTTTTATATTAAGAAAATATAACTTAATATTACAATAATGATTATATTGGTTTTATAAAGAGAAAAAAGACCATTAAAACTAACAAAATAAAACACTAATGGGTTAACCTATATCACAGGTTATTTTTAATTTTGTATGCAGTTTTCTGTAATTTTTGTTTAGTATTTATATAATATGATTTGATAAAAAATGACATAATCTCTGTGCATTTTTTCCATTACCAAAGAACAACAACAAAAGGAACTAACAGCATAGGCTCCATATTTGGAAATAAAGCAAAATTAATTTTTCAACTCCAGACAAAAAACTTCGACCTTCTGAGACAGAGTCTCATTATGTAGTTCAGGCTGGCCTTGAGCTCACTTTATAACCCAGGCTGGTCTCGCACTTGCAATGATCCCCCTGCCTCAGCTTCCCTAGTGCTGGGATTATGGGTATGCGCCACCACGCCCGGATGAAACTTTCAGTCTTGTAGAGAAGCAGAACAAAGAAAGGAAAATTATAAAATAATATACCTCACTGGCAGACATATTCTTCACCTGTTCTGGTTTCAGTTCTGTAAAATATGAAAGTCATACTTTAAAAAACGAAAGACTATTACATTAAATTGCTTAAAGGGAAAAATCAAACACAACAGTAGCTGTCTAAATCATATTAGAAGAGAGACACATTAACACTGGGAGCAAATACACTTTATAAATGTTTACGACAGAATAGTATTTCCTCTAAAGAATAAACAGGAGAAATTCAATTTCTTACACAACACCCAGAAACAACAGAGTTTACAAGATTAAAAGTTGACTTAAAAGAATGCAACTTGTTTTTCACAAAAGGCATTAGATTGGTTTTTAACCTAAAGGTGCTGTCGCTTCAGAATAATAACATGTTCTAAAAATACGAATGACTTATACATTAGCTACTGCTTCTGATCCACTGTCAGTAAGAAAATGTGGCCTCTTTCTCTCTGTCCAATGTATTTTTTTGAACTGTACTACATTTCAAACCATAGTTGATTACCAGTAACTGAAACAAAAAAAGCAAAACCACAGATGAGGACTGCTAGAAAAGAAAATGTGAGGGCCAATGATGTAGCTCAAAAGCACAGCGCCTGCCTGGTAAGCGTAAGGTACTGAGTTCGATTCCTGATACTAAAAAAAAGGAAAATGTTTTGTATGATGTAGACTATGCTACTACTATTCTCTACAATTCTATCAAAATGAATTAAATCTAACTTAACCTAAAACACTCAGTTGTGATATATCAAAATCAACAGATTATTTATCTCAATCAAAATACAGCAAAGTGAATGATATATTTTCTTGCAATACCTTGAAAGATGACCTATACGGAAATTTTTTTTCTTTTCTAAGTTACTTTTGGCATATTAATTTCAAATGAAAAAGAGCCAGAAAACAAACAAGAACATTTTCTCCACTATTTTTCTTTTTACTTGCTTAAAATATTTTCTTGGGTGAAGATGTAGCTTGGTGGTAGAGCACTTGCCTAATATGCACAAGGCACTGGGTCTGATCCTCAGCACTGCAAAATAAGCATGGAAGTTTTTTTCTCTTTTACATTTCCAGCTCATTACTGACTTGAGAAGTAAAACTTTGTCCAGAACAGGAGTCATGGTCCGCTGGCTCATGTACTGTTTTTATATAATCTGTGAGCCACAAATGGTTTTACTTTTTAAAATTTGTTAAAAAAAGAAAAGATAGCCAGGCAAGGTGGTGCACACCTATTATCCCAGTACTTGGGAGGCTAAGGCGGGGAGGATTGCAGTGAGTTTGAGGCCAGCCTGGGCTACATAAGTGGGTTCAAGTCTAGTCTGAACTGTATAGTGAGACCCTTTCTCAAAAAATAAACAAAAAACCAGAAAAGATAATTATGATTATGCAACATAGACCGTATGTGGTCTACTAAGCCTGAAATGTTTACTACAAGGTATTACAGGAAAAGTTTGCTGATCCCTAGTCTACAAACTACTTTGTACGATATCTACTACTGTTACAGCTTTACTACTTTCATACTGATAATAAAAATGATCTCTCAGTAGAGACTCTTCTAACTTCAAAGTGGCACGAAAAATAGTTCTACTGTTTTAAGCTCCTGTACACATACCTCGGATAGGTCCCAACGCTGCATCTTTTGCCAAAGCTGTTAGGTCACTTCCTGAGTAGCCATCAGTCATTCTAGGAAGTCAAGGGAAGAAACAGCAAACTATTTTCATTTTTGCAGAATAAAAATCTTCACAAAATTAAGAATATAAACAAACTACTTTGACTTTGTCAACAAGCTGACAGTTATGTGGTCCGATTTTAAGGGCACAGGCCCAGTTTTTAAAAGCGAAACAGTATGCTAATTGCTTATTATAATGCCTCAAACTTTCGATGTTTTATGAATTCTTTTACACATATTCTCCACGAGGTCTCATTAAATTGTAAACATGTCTTCTAGAAAGGCAAAATCTACAAACCATTGGTGATCAACTGACATATAATCACAAGGTACAAATCTGCTCTGTAAATTAACTAGTCTTTTTATACTGGCAGAAAAAACTCTTGATGAAATCAGGGCCAATATCAAGGTAGATTTCTTTAAACGAAGGACACTGGCATAAGACACTGCCCAAAAGGCACAATAGAGAGGGTCAGGCAGCCAAGAGATTATCAAAGAAAACAACCAGGGCAGAGAGACAAAAGATAAGGAAAATCAAACAGGAAAAAAAGGCATTTATTATGTAACATGATAAATAACTTTCAAGATGAAATATTTTCAGAATTCTTTATTAGAATGAAAAAAGAAAGACCTCTGTATTTCCAACTGTTCTTTTCTCATAGGTGCCTGGGAACTCAGTGTTCTTACTAAAGTTACTACTCTCATACTTGTTAAATATTTTCAATTTGTTTTGTTCTTTTGTTTTGTTTTGAGATAAGGTCTTGCTATGCAGTTCAGGCTGGTCTTGAACTCACTATGTAACCCAGGCTGGCCTCAAACCTAAGGACATCCTCCTGCCTCAGCATCCTGAGTGCTAGGATTAACCATGGCTGGCTTAAAATATTTTAAATTATTTTGTGACATTTTCCAAAGACTAAAATCCTTGGGAACATCTCCTACATCCAGTTGCTATGTAACTACACTATCATAAAGAAGTATTAGGTATAATGTAATGTTAAACAGGTTCCTCAGAGGCTCAATAGTACCCCACTTTGGGCTTGTTGTAGAATCCAGTTTGAGCTAGAATATTCTGCTTAGTGAGCTTAGTAAATATCTTCCTCCCATAGTATCTAACCATCCTTGATATCTAATCACCCTAGCCAGCCTCCATCAAGAATTCTATTCAATCTTGTAAGATTCCATTTTCCTGTTGGTAATTTTTCATGTACTGACCTGCATTTTGCTCCCTGACTATAAACTCCACTTTCCTCGCTGGAGCCGAAGTTGAGCCCAGTATCTGTCCACCGCTGTAAGATCCTGCTGCAGTGCCTCCCCATCCTTCTTTTCGTGGCCCTGGGGATTGAACTCAGGGTCTCTGCACTGAGCTACACCTTCATTCTTTTTTAACATTTTTATTCTAAGCCAGAGTCTTGCTAAGTTGTGAGGTTAGTCTCAAACTTGTGATCCTCTTGCCTCAGCCTCCCAGAGCACTGGGATTACAGGTGTGCAACACTGTACCTGGCTATCATGGCCCTTCTTGAGTAGTCTTCCTTACTGTCTTAAACTTTTTTTAGGATGTGAAAATCTAAACAAATTCTACCTAATAGAAAAGAAACGTATATGAAGATACCCATTTTGGTGCGGGCAAATAGGAGATGCTCTGAATTTTTTAAGTGCTTTAACACAATGTTTAAATTTTATTTATAGAAAGAATACACTACCATCATTAAATATTTAGGTCTAGTAAAAGACAAATGGCAATTTAGATACCATATATAGAAAGAAGAGGTAAGAAATAAGGTAGAAGAGGTAACAAAGAAGGTAAAAGAATGAGACAAGTTTCCTGACAAATGAATTATTCATTTCATACTTTGAGGTTATTTTAAATAACACACAGACAATCCTTTTTTTTTTTCTTTTTTGTACTGCAACTCAAACCCAGGATCTCATGCTTGCCAGGCAGGAAAATACTCCAATTACTCACCTAGCAAGTTGTGCTAGTTCTTTTTGGGTCAATGGACTTCCTTGTTTACATAACAGATTTTTAAGTAAAAGTAGTCTTGTCTGAAAAGAAATATTAAAGAATTATCAGTGTAATCTAATTTGATTCAGAATTATCAAAATTAATTTTTATTTTTTGTTTAGAGATAGGGTCTCACTACGTAGTGAGACTTGAACTCACTTTGTAGCTTTGTAGAGGACACTGGCCACGAGATCATGGTCATTCTCCTGCCTCAGCTTCCTCAGTGCTGGGATTACAGGTGTGTGCAATGCCTGACTCTAAAATTAGTTATTCTTTTTTGCTTTAGACAGGTTCTCTTATGTACTGCAGGCTGGTTTTGAACTTGCTTATGTAGCCCAGGTTGGCCTCGAACTCACTGCAATCCTCCTGCCTCAGCCTCCTGAGTGCTCAGGTTACAGGGATGTGCGCGTCCTCATGCCCAGCTAAAATTAGTAATTCTTAACAAGCTAAGAATCGGCTTAATAAAGGAACTAGTAATCAGGTTCAAATCGTTGAAGCATTATTCTTATCTGCTGGTTTTAAAATTACCTATTTTTTGAGAGAATTAAAGAAGATAATTCTCATAAAATACTGAGAAAGTAGCAGTTGTCACTATCACAGATGCTCCCTCTCCACCCCCATAGTGTATGCCTATAATCCTAGTGCTCAGGAGCCTGATGCAGAAGGCCAAGAGTCTGAGGCCAGCCTAGTATCTACATAGTGAGTTAAAGACCAGCCTGAACTACATAGAAGACTCTATCTAAAACAAACAAACAAACAAACAACAACAAAAAAAGCATCTGGACTAGAAAACCACACTTTTAAAAGAGTTTTACAGAAATATTAACTTATATACCAGGAATTCATCCATTTTAAGTGTATATCTCACTTTCAGTAAGTTTATAGAGTTGTACAACACCATCACAATAGCTTTAGAACATTTGTATTACCTTAAAAAATTCACTCATGCCTATTTATCAGAAATCCCAAGCAGCTGGGTGTGGTGGCCCAGTCCTGTAATACCAGCACTCTAGAGGCTCAGGCAGGAGGATCCTTGCTGAGTTCGAGACCAGCGTGGGCTACAAAGTGAGCTCAAGGCCAGCCTATACTGCATAGGGAGACCCTGTCTCAAAAAGACAAAAGAAAAAAGAAAAAAAAAAAAAAAGAAGAAGAAATCCCCACTTCTATACTTTGCCCTAGTAGACCACTGATTTGCTTTTTGTTTCTGCAAATTTTTTTTTTGGAAGTTCATATAAATTGAATTACATGATAGCTTTTGTTAGCATGTGGCTTCTTTCACTTAGTATATATATTTTTTATTCATATTGTATATAGGATTTTATTGAAAAATCCTGTTCATTTAGCAACTGTGAATGTTTTTCTTTGCAGTTTCTGCTATCATCAATATAGCTGCTATGAAAATTCTTGTATATGTCTTGACGTGGATGTTTTCTATTAAGTAAATTCTTACAAGGTTTTATGGTAGATTTATGTTTATCTTTTTAATAAACTGATAAACTGTTACAAAGTGGCTGTACTATGGCCTGGAAGATGGACTTCTTTGTTTACATAACAAATATCCTTGTCAAGAAGCTATCTTCTTCCTCTTTTTTGGGGAGGGCGGCGCGTACCAGGAATTGAACTCAGGACCTCACACTTGCCAGGCAGGCATTGCGTCACAGAGCTAAATCCTCAGCCCTATTTCTTTCTGTTTTTTTTTTAAAAAATTCAAAAATAGATACATACCTCCTCATTTGGTAAAGATACATATACCCGTTTGATGAACCGCCTACAAAAATTCAAGTAATTTCATAAATATAATTTTGAATTTGAATGTAACCCAACTTAAGTAACAAATAACAGGAAAAAGATTTTAAGTATAATATTTGAGGCAACTGAATGCACCTTATAAATTATCAATATAAAAATTATTTCTATTTTTTAAAAATTCTCTAATGTTTGAGAATCTTCAATAAATGGTTAAGCATTTACGTATGTGTATGTTCTTAACAGCAACAATAATTTAGATCTATGTAAGTAGAATAATGCTATCTCCGTTGCCTTGTCAAATCTGAAAACTACAAAAATCAACGAAAATTACAGAAGCAAATACCAACTTAAACTAAGCAAGATTTATGAAACTAATGTATATGAAGGGTTGCCTACGGTGATGAAAATTACATAGGTGAAGGAACATATACACAGGATCTACCATTGCAGATCATGGAAGTGACTGTCAAGAGTTTCTCAAGGAAGCAGAGACAGCATAGGCTTCAGGTAATAAAACCACCTCCTCACATTTAAATAAGCTTGTGACGCCTGGCTCTGCAAACCCCGAGAGCCCTAGCTGATAGCACGAGAATGGCCAGCAAGGCAAAGCTGCACAAACAAACTCAGAAACACATGATCTTTGTAAGAAGGCATTAATCAGTCTGGCTGGGTAACAAACTGTTGTGCAGAGACCAATATTTTTCAGCTGAAGAAATCAACCCCCTCTTCATTTACATACACATGGATTTATTATCAGGTAGGGTTCACACTATGTGACTGCCCATTAGTTCAAGGTATACATGGGATAACTCAAGATACCTGCATAGCAAGCCATTTAGTTTTCTAGCCCCACCCAACAAAATCCTTCCAAAACTACATTTTCCAAGAAAAATAAAGAAATTATTCAAAGAAAAATAATAAAACAAAATGGAAAAAGAGCCTATGGCTCATTAAAAAACAAAACAAAACAAAACAAAACAAAAAAACCAAAAAAGACAAACTACAATGAAGTAGATAAATGACATGCACAAGAACAGAAGGGCAAATTATGACCAAGTATCTTCCTATGAAATGAAAAAAATTAATGTAAAAAATGGCTTTTAATGAAATAACTCAATGATACACAAGAGCTTAAGGAAACAACATACAAAGGCTTACAAGATAATAAAAAATATGACACAGTTCAGGAAAGCAATGAAAAAGAAAAAGCACCACAGAAACAAAAGTTAAAAAGAAAGTAGCAGAAAGAAGATTACATACTAACTCAGGAAGAAATAAAGGCAACACAGTTGATAGAACAGAACAAAGCAAAGCAAAACAAAACAGACCTGAGAGTTTAAAAGGATTAGAAAGGAAATTACAGATACAGGGACCAAAAATGCAACATAATATGTATATAACTTATGTGCAAGAGAAAAAAGAATTAGGAAAGAAAGTTAAAGACAGACTCAAAATGAATTTCCAAACTATAAAGAAATATCAAACCCTAGGAAGAATTAAATCAGTGTATTTTTCAAGTAACTATAGGTCAATGACTGAAAACTGTATCCAGTGCTGGGTGCGGTGGCACACTTCTGCACACAAAGTACAGACTAGCTCTCCTGACACTGTACTAGACCAGACCTGAAAATCTTCATTCAGTTGGCAGTAACAGGCCAAAGGAAAGCACATGAAGAAAATAATTTAACCTTGAAACTGAGAGTACATGTGAGACGAACACATGAATAAATGTATCTGCCATAGACGTATGTGTTTCCACACAAAGCTCCCTACCTGAGAACAGCCTCATCAAGCTCCTGCGGTCTGTTAGTTGCACCCATTACAAGTACTCTGTCATCTCCAGCAGACTGTACCTACAGGCCAAAAATATTTTGGGGGGTACCTTTAAACAAAGAAATTTTTTAAAAAGTACGTGTTTCTAATTTGGGTCATCTTACAGGAAAAAAATATATACATGCTGCCTATTTTAAAAATGTCATTATCAATACTTACACCATCAAATTCTATTAGAAATTCTGTTTTTAGACGTCTACTAGCATCATGCTCCCCTTCTCTTCTTTCACACAAAAGGCTATCAACTTCATCTAGAGGAAATACAAGGACACAACTTTAACAGCCAATCTGTGTGAATCACATGAGTAATCCAGTTATTATATAACTTATGAATATAGTGGATGCTACTGAATTCATTATGTGTTCATTAACCTGAACTTTTTCCTTTTGAATAATCTGTCCTATTATACCTCTTATATGTGAAAAGGGAACTTTTACTTTAGTTAGAAAACATGTTTTTACCTATAAAAATTATAGAAGGTTGAAGTTCTCGAGCCACAGCAAAAAGAGCTCTCACCAATTTCTCGCCTTCTCCCACCTAAAATAAAGCATTAGGTACTGTTTTACACATTAAGCACAATATCATTTCAGTCTTTTAAATTTCATAATTTCCAGTCTAGAATGTAGGAATTTAGTTTGTCTTTCCTGTAATGACCAAAGACTTGATATGAGTAATTAGGGGCAGTGATATGTTACTGAAATGTTCCTTACAATTTTAGAAAATAGACTATTTACTTATAACCTCATACGGTCCGGTAAGTACTTCCAGAAGTGAAATACACCTGTGCTCTATTTTATGGTGAGGATATAACTAGTGAGAAAGAGAACTAAGGGAGAGAGAGATGCTGCACATATTCTGTAAGCCCTAGACTACAGGGTATCTTTACAGAAGCAGGTAAGTGGGAAAGTGCTCTCCTAAACAAAACTTGTCCTATTAGGACACACTGGAAACTCATTCTCAACATCCATTGGCAATATATACCAAAGTATTTCTATGAGTCCAGGAGGACTATGAACACCCCTAGAGATACTCCAGATACTCAATTCACCATGATTCAGGCCATTCTATGCATCAAAGTATCAAATAAAGGGGTCATAAAGTCTATTACTCAAATGAAAGGGTCATGAATCTGCTGTCAAAATTCTGTCCTCTGGGTGGCATTTATCCTTTTATTGAAATTTTCCTTAAAAACAAAATAGATGGCAATGTTGGTACATGCCTAAAATCCCAGCTACTTGGGAGGCTAAGACAGGAGGATTATAAGTTCAAGACCAGTCCAGGCAGTTTAGTGAGCTCCTGGCTCAAAATAAAAAATAAAACTAAAAAAAAAAAAAAGCAGGGTATATAACTCAAGGGTAAGGTGCTTATGCTGGCCTATCATACACAATGCCCTGTGCGCAAATTTGCAATCCTCATGTGTTACTTAGTTTCTCAGAGTGCTGGGAGTACAGGTATGCATCACCACACCCAGCTGTTTATGCTTGTAATCCTGGCTACTTGGGATTCTGAAGCAGGATTGCAAATCTGAGGCCAGTTTGAGCAGCCTGGCAAGACTGTCTCAAAATATGAATGGGGCTGGTGATGTAGTTCAGTGGTAGAATGCCACTGGATTAAATCTTAGGCAACACACAAACATTCCCATCCAGATTTATAGTGATCAAAACAAATATTTTCAAGAGTTGGAAGGAACATCACTTCTTATGACATTACATTTTATAGATGAAGCAGCCCTAGTACTTTCTTATGGCCACCTCAGGATGTAAAAGATAGGTTGGAATCTCTATCTCCTAACTTTAAGACAGTGCTTTCCATTATAATGTTTATAACATGGCCTAACCTGCTGTAATATCAACTTGTAAGCTTTCACACAAGAAGCAAATGTGAGTAGGAAAAGAGGCACCATTTTAACTGCTTTACAAATTGAGGTAAGTACTAAAGTCTGTAATCCCAGTATGTGGGAGGCTGAGGCATGTGGATTGCCTTGAGTTTGAGGCCAGCCTGAGGTACATAGTGAGTTTCAGGTCAGCCTGAACTACATAGTGAGACCCTGTCTCAAAAAAAAAGAAAGAAATCAACAACAAAAACATGTAAGCCTAAAAGATTTAACCTAGTAGAGATACTATAAGAGATATATTACTTTATCAGCTTCTCAACTATTACTAGTTTTTTAATCTAACAGAATACTGATGTACTGAAAACCAAATTTTATAAACATGTAAGACTGGAAAAATACTCATGGACTGCAAAGTACTATGTGAATATTGTTTGTTTTTAAATTAAAATATCATAAGCAGGTTAACAGTTCTGAAATATAACTTCTAAAACTATTTGTGTAAAAAACTCAATCTGAAACTACATGTAACAACTTGGACATCACAAACAGAATACTGATGAAAGAAGTCAGACACAGAAAAACCTTACATTTATATGAAGTTAAAGGCAGGTTAGTTTTGCCTATCATATTAGTACTGTAAGGTTTTTGAGGAAGAGGTGAGCAGATAAAGATCGGAAGATCAGGCAGGGACTTCAAGGGGTAGGTAACACTCTATTTCTCAATAGAGATAGTGATTATGAAAGTGCATTACCTTTGTAGTAATCCAGTGGGCTGTATGCAGATTATATAAACACTTTCCTACATATAAACTATTAATAAGCAAGCTTAAATAGTAATTTCCTATGCTATAATACATATGTAACTTATTGTTGTGAAAAAAAAAAAAAAAACCTAGATATTTTAATAACACAAATGTCCACAACTATGAAGCATTTCCTGCTAAAAGCTTTCTCAGAATGCATGAAAAGAAATGGAGCCTGTAGAGGTGGGCATGGTGACACACACCTGCAATCCCAGCACTAAGGAGGCTGAGGCAGGAGGATCGCTGTGAATTCAAGACCAGCCTTGGCTAAAAGTAAGCTCAAGGTCAGCCTGAACTGCACTGGGAGACCCTGTCTCAAAAAGACAAAAAAAAAAGAGAGCATGTATATAGTATTCAAAAGTGCTTCCCAGGATTTTATAAGTGAGATCATATCTAAGGTAAAGCATTCTCATATTCTCACACCCAAGCGTAATGACACACTGGCATGAGACTACAAAAATAACTAAGATAATTTACGATAAATATAATCATTATGTACTGCAAACGTGCTATTAAAAATTTTAAAAATTAAGAAAAACAATGCACAGGGGGGAAAAGCAGATATAACATTAAATTCTAATATTTATAAAGCCCAGGCAAGAGGGGTGTAGTGGCACATGCCTGTAATCCCAACGCTCGGGAGGCTGAGGCAGGAGGACTGCTTGTGAGCTCAAGGTTAGCCTAGGCTGCACAGTGAGTTCAAGGCTGGCCTGAACTACGCAGTGAGACCCTATCTCAAAACACCCAGGAAAACAAAACAAAAAAATTACGGGTTCAGCTGGGTATGGTGTTGTGTATGTATAATACTAGCACTTCTGGAGGCTGAGGCAACAGGAGCACAAGTTTAACTCCACCCTCAGCAATATACTGACTTAGTGAGACTTTCTCAAAAGGGGAGGTTAGGAGAGAATACTAGGAATGCAATTCAGTGTGAAAGCCCAGCATTCAATGTCTAGTATAGAAAAAAAAACAAAACTACAGACCCAATGGATGCTTTCTGTCTCACAGGGGTGGAGATTACCTCAGCCCAGTGCCATAAAACAGTCAAACTATGGCCAGTGTACTAAGTCTGTCTTTAACTCCTTGCCCACTCTACAACCTTACAAGTACAATTCCCATACGCATCTAACTTAGGGAGTGAGATAATTCTGAACTCATATCTGTTCTCAAAATACAGTCTGCAGGGCTGGGGTATAGCTTGGTGGCACAGCGCCTTGCTTGGCAAGCGCAAGGTCCCGAGTTTGACTTCTGGTACTAAAAAAGAAAAAAAAAAAATCTGCTTTTGGTTTGCTGATAAAATTTAAGTTTTTGGCTGGCATGGTGGCATGCATGCATATTCTCAGTTACTCAGGAAGCAGAGGCAGGAAAACAACCTGAGCCCAGAAGTTGAAAATCAGCCTGGCAAATATGGTGAGATCCTATCTCAAAGAAAAAAATTAAGCGTCTTTCTCTACAAAGCTGAAAAGTTGAGGTAAACTCATGACACTGGAGCCTCTTAGCACCTCTGAGCTCCTCACAGAGGGAGACCAACCCGACATCACGTTATCACTGTGTGTTTCAGTGCATGTAATGTCGACACTTCAAACTATTATAAGTAATATATTCTTTCATCACAGATTCATGTTTTAGTTTAAATGTTTGTCAAAACACTTTCAACAAGAAGGATTTTGGTCAGAAGCAGAGACTAAGATGTCACTGGGAAATGAAAGAAGGTGGGGGGAGGGGAACATAAAGCAGTGTAAGGTTTGACAGAAATTATTTCACAATTCTGCACTACCCCAGTTCACTCACTCATTCCACACATCTACAATTACACCTGCGCTTCCCCAAAACTCTTCTTTGAGTATCACTGTGGAGTTACTGCAAAGTGAATGAAAAAGAAACCTAAAATGTGATGTAAATATCACAGCACTTGGGAGGTTGAGTCAGGAGGATTGCCCTGAGTTTGAGGCCAACTTGGGCCGCATAGTGAGTTTAAGGCCAACCTGAACTACACAGCAAAACCCTATCTCAAAAAACCAAAAAATACTTGAAAGCACAAGGTCCCAAGTTCAATTCCCAGTACCAAACAAGAAAACCAATAAATAAATAAAACAAAAAACAAAACTCAAGGGAAAATCTTCTATCATATTTTAGTTCAGCACAAGAAAGCCAAAAATACTCAGTTTAGACCATTAGCCCTTCTCCCAGATAAAGCATCTTTGCGGATGACTAAGTCACTGTAATTTGAGACCTCTGGGGAGAGACCTTATCCAGTATGAATGTGTCCTTCATAAAAAGTGGAGATTTGAAAACACACACACACTGAGGGAGAACACCAAGAGAAGATGAAAGAGGAAACTCAAGTGATGCATCTACAAGCCGAGAAATGCCAAAGATCACAGCAAACCAGCAGAAGCGGAGGCATGTAATACATTCTCCTGTACAGTGCACCAAAGGAAACAGCTTTGCTGACACTTTGATCTTGGAATTCCAGGCTTCTAAATTAGACGACAATACATTTCTGATGTTTAAGACAGCAGTTTATGTTATGGTACTTTGTTATGCAGCCCTACCAAACTAATACAGCATTTCATAACATAACACTAATTTTTAAAAAGCCTAACAAATGCATTTAACTTTCTACATTGAAGACGGACACTCATCATATGTAAATAATAGAAAACTCATAGAAAGTTATTTTTGGAAATATTATCATTTGCCAGGCATGGTGACGCACACTGGTAATCCCAGCACTTGTGAGGCTGAGGCAGGAGGGTTGCTGTGAGTTCAAGGCCAGCCTGAACTACACAGTGAGACCCTGTCTCCAAAAAAACCCCAAAAGGTATCACTTATATTTAACACAGTAACATACATTTATTTATGTATTTAACAGTTTACTTCGGCAGGTTTTAGTAGAACAACGGATTCGGTATGCACTTGCTTAGTCTCTTAGGTTTCCTTCTGTTACAGCCATCAGTTAAGCTAGTCCTATCTATACTCACAACTGCAAGATGAGAAGGAAACAGTAACAGTGAAACAGCAACCTAAAACATGACAACACTGGGAAAAACTCACATATTTTGAAGTTAAGCTTGCAGCGCTGATATTAAAAAAGGTTGCATTCGATTCTGCAGCTACTGCTTTAGCCTTTAAAATAAGAACAAGCACATTAGTTCAGTATTTTGCTTTAAAAAAGATAACAGCATTTAATCAACTTAAGTGCTAGAACAGATTTTCTAAAAATGTAGAAGAGAATTCCCACATATGGCAATGCATATGTTTCCCTTTGGTAGCAGAAAAAGTACAGGAAAGAGCTTTGCTTCTTACTCTCTGCTAAGAAAGAACGGGTGTGTGGGGTACTAACCTCTTAAGAATGGAAAATAACTGGTTAGAGAAAGATAAATAGCTAATGGAAAAGTTACTCTTTCAGTCTAGAAGAACAAGGCAGAGAAGAGAGATATCCAGATCTTGGTATTAATTTCTGGTAAAAGGACACTGAAAAAAGTTACACATAGTTATTATTTAATAAAAACTATTAAGATAGCAAAATATTAAGGATTAGAAAAATATTCAATATAGCACGGTAAGCTCTTTTAAAAAACCAAAACTAGTCGGGGATGGTGGTGCACACCTGTAATCTCCACACTTACGAGGCTAAGGCAGGAGGACTACGGTGAGTTCAAGGGCAGCCTGAAGTGCACTGCTAGACCCTATGTCAAAAAACCCAAAACTACACTAAACAAAATCAAAACTATACTACTGAGGATAATATGGTTTTCCATTTATTTCTCCATTGGAAATTAATTTAGTATCAAGTATATGAAAGCAAAAAGCAAATGATAAAGTATAGACTCAGGGGCAATGTAAAGTTTCTTTTTTCCTCATTTTTCCTATGATCTCAATAGCAAACTGTGAAAAGAATTCTTACCAGCATTGTCTTCCCATTTCCAGGTGGACCAAAGAGTAATAATCCTCTGGCAGGTGCTCTAAGCCCTGTAAACAACTTTAAGAAAATATGTATTAGTTTACAACTATGATTCTGTTGTTGGGTTTTTTGGATTTTGGTTTTTTTTCTGGAACTGGGAATTGAACTCAAGGCCTCACACTTGCCAGGCAGGTATCGTGCCACTGAACTATATTCTCGGCTCACAAGTATGATTCTGAAGACAAATTTTTCCAGACATTCTAAGCGTTATTTGCCTTCTAATAAAATACCATTTTCTGTAGCATCCTCCCAAATAGAAATGACCAAAGCTTTAGAAGAAACAAAAATCAATAAATCAGTATAATTAAAAACAGGGGAAGAAGATGAGAAGAAATCACATCCTCAGTGATCAAAATAAGACACTAAACAAGAGAATGAATGTAGGCCTGTATGTCTACTAAGAAATCCTACCAAGTTATACTACATGAATAAAACAGATACAAATCTTAGCAAAAACTGGAAAGGGGTTTGGGAGGTATGGTTCTGTGCTAGTAGCTTTTCTAACATGGCTGAAGCCCTGGGTTCTATCTCTAGCACGAAAAAAAGGGAGTGGATAACACAGGACACAATAAATTCTTGGAGAATCAGAGGTGGCAAACATGCTCTGGGAGGCTGAGGAAGGGCCTGGATCAAAAGTTTGAGTCCAGCGTTGGCAACTTAGTTACTTAGTGAAACCCTGTCTCAAAACAAAAACATAAAAAGGACTGGAGATATAGCTCAGAATAAATGCCCTAGGTTCTACAGCGGGGAGGATCAATGACAACAAATGCTTTCTATTTTAATAATTCTCTAATTATTTTAATGATTTAATAGCAAAAACTTAACTAGCATATCAAGTCAGTCATTTCATGTGCTCAAATGTGTAATAAGTAAAATAAAAAGAATTTATTTATTTTTTGTCTTTCTGAGACAGGGTCTCCCTATGAAGTTCAGACTGGCCTTGAGCTCACTTTGCAGCCCAGGCTGGTCTCGAACTCACAATGATCCGCCTGCCTCGGCTTCCCAAGTACTGGGATTACAGGCATGCACCACCACGCCTGGCCTAGAAGTATTTAGTACTTCCTAGTATAGTAAATACTCTTAAGCAATAAATACCATGAAGATAGTACATGAATGACTAAGACTATGAAAAGACAGAGCCCTACAAACTTTGCACATTCATTTAAAAGTGCATCCATTGCAATACTTATTTTATTTTATTTATTATTTTATTTTATTATTTATTTTATCTATGAGATGTTGATTTTATTCCATGAGATATAAATGATTCAAGAGTGGAGCCTAAGATGTACTTTTTATGCTTGTATCGTTTTTTTTTTTTCCCAGTATCGGGAATCAAACTCAGGACTTCGTGCTTGCCAGGCAGGCGCTGTGCCTCTGAGCTAAATCCCCAGCCCCAGGATGTACTTTTTGCAGTATAAATGGAAGAGCATTAAATAAGCAATCTGAGCTAGGCATGGTGGCACATGCCTATAATCCTGAGTATACGCAGGAGGAGCACCATACAAGTTCCAGGCCAGCCTGGGCTACAAAGTGAGTTCAAGGCCAGCCTGGATGGCATAGCAAAACCCTGTTTCAAAAGAAAAAAAGAGGAGCTGGGGATTTAGCTCAGTGGCACAGCGCCTGCCTGGCAAACGCAAGGTCGTCAGTTCAATTCCTGGTACTGGAAAAACAAAAACAACAACAAAAAAAAAGAAAAAAAAGAAAAAAGAAAGAAAAAAAGATTACACATCTTCCTTTATGACTCTAAAATATGAGATGGAGTTAGACCCCTATATATTATTCACTCGCTATATACTTTGTTAACTTAATACCTTTGCAAATAATTCTTTTAAAGATTTTTCTTAAAGTTCAATTATTTTTTCTTAATTTCCCCTTTCTCTAGTATGATTTCTGTGTCTTTTCTGTTTTTTCTTTCTTGATTTTTGAGACAAGGTCTTGCTTTGTTGAGTTCAGGCTAGTCTCGGACTCACTGTGATCTTCCTGCCTCAGCCTCTTGAATGCTGGGATTACAGGCATGCACCACCATACCTGGCTTGTATCTTAATTTTAAATGTCTATCTCACCTTGACATAAAAATTATAACATCTACTTTTCTAATAAAAGTTAAAAACAGACTGGGAATTAGGAACTCTTATATTCATTCTCCTCTCTTGTAATATAATCTATCAACATGAATTGTTAATGTTTGTCTTTTAAAAACACTAACTCTACCATTGCCTTGTATGAATTAAATCATCCCAGCACAGCATATTTACTACCATAATCTATTAAGTAATGGATGGTTTTACAGTTTTTGTTTCTATTTTTTGAGACAGGGTCTTGCTATGTATTTCAGATTGGCCTTGAACTCTTTGTAGTCCAGGCTGGCCTCAAACTCACAGTGCTCCTCCTGCCTCAGTCTCCCGAGCACTGTGACTACAGGTGTGTGCCACCACGCCAAACTGGATGATGTTATAGGAAAATGATAATACAATGTCCTTACCTCAGGTCTCAGAGAAGGAAGAATAACAATTTCCTGCAAAGCTTGTTTTGCCAACTCTTGACCAGCTATATCATCAAATTTAACAGCTGTCCCACTAAGAAAAAATATTTCAGTTAATTCCAGTATAAAAATATGGCTCAGTTATTACAACACATAGGAACTATATAAGCTCTATGAAGTGAATCTTTTTTATGTTAACTATGAAACTGTAATTTAGTAAAAATGATTTTCTACATTTATAACAAAAAAAAACTTTCGCAAGTAAGGAAGGGAAGAGAAGTTGAAGGGAGGGGAGAAGAATGGGAAAAAGCAGCAAGATGTATCATGTACAGGTGCAAACTCCCTATGATGAATGTTACCATTACATATACCTAAAATGTACCAATAAAAAGTAGAATAAATACATGTGTGCCCTACAATAAAAACTATCATAAAAATTAACTATGTAAATCACAAAAAGTACTATCTATCCCCCTTGTGTTTTTTCAGAATGAAAACAGTTTTATTATGAATTGGGTCCTGCCTGCTTAAATCCTTCAACTTCATTCCCTAGTTGAAGTTCCTCTATATTTTACTTGTGATACATTTCATAAATACAATTCAAACACAGGAACTATACAAGTTTTAGATGGCAAAAACTTACTTGTCCACAATTTCATTCATTATAAGGTTAGCCAGGTTGCTGTCCACATTCCTAAAATTCTTCAAGTCTTTCTTTTTACGAGAAGCAGTTGTAGGGGTAGAAGGCTTATTTGTTCTGTTTGTTTTTGGAGTACCCTTAAAGGACATAGAATTTTAATGTGTAAATATAACCCATCATACTTTTCATATGTGAATTAACCTAAGTTCACAGAATTCAGTTTGAACAAATAGGAGAAAGAATATAAAATTCACAAAATAGTCTATTTATTATACCACAAAACTAAATTCACTGTACAACTACATTTACCATGAATTTGGTTTACAGAGATTTTATTCAGAGATTTAGATAATATAAAGAAATAAGGCCAGGACTGGGGATGTAGCTCAGTGGCATAGCGCCAGCCAGGCAAGCACAAGGCCCTGAGTTTGATCGCCAGTACCAAAAGAAAAAAAAAATAAAAGAAAATAGGTCCTATCACAACAGTCATAATTTTGACCCTTGTTAGACTTGTAAGAAAACTCTAGGTATATTTAATATTAAGTTTACACGAACTGAGGGGCTAGGGATTTAGCTCAGGGGCAAAGCACCTGCCTGGCAAGTGCAAGGTCATGAGTTCGATTCCTGGTACAGGAAGAAAAACGAAAAACAAAAACAACAATAACAACAACAAAAAGTTTACATGAACTGAAATTAGTAAGTAAATTTAAAATGAGAGATACCTATATATAGCATTATATTAAACATACTGGGTAATTCAACTTAATATGAAATGCTAATTAGGTCCGAATGGTTAAATACCGTTTGCTTTTTACTAGCAAGTTTGCCCTTAAATTAAAAGAAACTGTATTTACTTTGTGGAATCTTATTGATTTTCTAAGTATTACTATAAAGTTCTTATAAAAAACTTAAGCAAATATAGTATTTCTATTTGCAAGAGCACAGCAATTAAAGCGACTGTCCTACAATACCTTATGAGTGGCTGTTGTAGAGCCAGGTCCTTGTCTCGTTCCCGAAACCATGGACAAACCACTGCAACTGGGTGCTCTGTGGTGACCTGAGAGACCTGCGGATCCAGTTTTCATAACTGTTTTTGAACGTGGCAGCGAGTTACTAGCGTGTGTTAAGGGATCTTTTCTTTTTGGAACAGCTCCACTTTCTGTCAAAGAAAAAGTAAAACCATTATGATTAGAAAATTATGGCTAAAAATTATGCAAACCAATAATAAAGACAAATACAAATTTATAAAACTAAGCTAATAATATTTTTAAAATTCAGAAATATTTCAAGGATTTCAATCAGAACACATGCCACAGTGTTTACAGGGGCTCTCAGTTGTTGAATAGGATTATGGCTAGTAGGTATCTCCTTTTCCTGATACATAGTCTAATTTTCTTAGGAAGAAATGTATCTATAAGAAAGAAACAACTTCATCTGTGGGGAAAGGAAGAGGATGTAAAAAGGTATCAAGCAAATAAAGCTCTCATACACTTCAGAGACTAAGTGCAGTAAAGGTAAGAGGGATACACTGCACACAAGGAAAAACAGTATCCGCTATTCTGGTAGCAAACTTGCACGTCTATGAAATACTATGGAAGATTCAGCCTGTGCTGAGAAAGAGACAGGGTTTTGCTGTGCAATTCAGGCTGGCCTTAACTCACAGTGATAACACGTTACACCAATAAGCAAATTAGACTACCTAAGACAAAAGACAAAAGCCTCAATTTTGCCTTTGTTATCAAATCCCTTAATATGATTTAAAGAACTATGGACTCTAAACTAGTATAAAGAATGAATTTGTTTATAATCAGAAAGAATAAATAAAATTTAACATTTAAAAGAATCACTTTTAGAATGTACTGTACTCCACATATCAATCCCACATTTAGCCACTGAGTGACTAAAATGAGAACCTCTAGGAAAATTGAAAAAATATCCATAGCACCGAGGGACAGTTTTTTGTTTTGTTTTGATTTCTGTTGTTGTTGTTTTTGTTTTTCTTCCGATACCAGCAATGGAACTCGACCTTGCGCTTGCCAGGCAGGCGCTGTGCCGCAGAGCTAAACCCCCAGCCCCTTGTTTTATTTTGAGACAGGGTCTCGCTGTGCAGTTTAGGCTGGCCTGGACTCACTATGTAGCTCAGACTTTTTTTTTTTTTTTTTTTGGTTGTAGCTCAGGCTTGCTTCGAACTTGTGGCAATCCTCATGCCTCAGCCTGTCAAGTGCTGGGATTATAGGTGTGAGCCACCACACCCTGTGATTCGTTTTCTTTTAAATCTTTGACCATATTTATAATAATTGCTGTAAAGTCTTTGCTAAATCCAACATTCAGTCCAACTCAAGGGTTTCTACTGACTACTTTTTTCTTGAGTAAGGGTCATACTTTCCCGATTTCTTTACATGTAGAGTAATTTTGGGTTAAAACTGTACATTACAGATAACATAGTAATAAGCACACTAAATGACTGTTTCTTAAGAGAGATGAAGTAACTCATCCAAGTAAGACATTCTAGAACTGAGTGACACTAAATAAACAAGGTCTAACTGAGCCAGCTCATTCACTAGGGTACACTGTATTTCCAATATCAGGATGCATAAATTAGCTGTGCAGTTAGTATGTCCCTCCAACCAGAAAACAGGATTAGTAGACTTGAGAGATTACTAGGTATCTAAAATAAAGCACTGCTTGATGTTTTAAAGTATGGGTTCAAGGAAAAGACGTTTGCTAACACTCCCCTTGTTGGCATGGCAGAAAAATACAACAGGATCCAGCATGTATAATGAAGTATTAAGAGATCAAAATATTGGGTGTGGTGGCTGGCGCATGCCTGTAATCCCAGCATTCGGGAGGTTGAGGCAGGAGGATCATTGCAAGTTCAAGACCAACCTGGGCTTCAAAGTGAGCTCAAGGCCAGCCTGAATTGCATAGGGAGACTCTGCCTCAAAAAGACAGATAAATAAATAAATAAATAAATAAATAAATAAAAATAAATAAAGTGGGAAAAAAATAAACTGGCCGTGGTAGTACATGTCTATAATCCCTGCACTCAGGAGGCTGAGGCAGGAGGATACCTGCAAGTTCCAGATGAGTCCGGACTGCATAGCAAGACCCTGTCTCAAAAAAACCCCAAAAAAGACCAGGTGTGGTAGGAAGATTGCTATGAGTTCAAGGTCAACCTAGGCTACATAGGGAGTTTCAAGGAGAGTCAGAGCGGTATAGTGAGAGCTTGTCTCAAAAAAGAAAAGAAAATTTATAGTAAAAGACACATTGTCATTCATTCCCCTCAAAACAGTCCTCCTTGATTTAAACACAATTATCCCATTGTTCTTATTGCTTTTTTTTTTCTTTTTTTGGTACTGAGAATAGAACTCATGACCTCAGGCTTGCCAGGCAAGTGCTTATGCCACTAAGCTATATCAGTGGCCCTTTACTGCTTTCAGAGATAGTTCTGGAAGTCTTTTTTTGTGACTACGTTTAGTTGGCTGCCTCAACTGTCCTGAATGAATTCAAAACATGTATCTTTAATGGTTATTCTGATTTTGTGGAAAAGTCAGAAGTCACACAGTGCCAGATCCAGAGAATAAGGTAGATGAGGATACACTGTATGTTTTTATTTGACAGAAATGAAAGTGTTCAAAAAATATGGTGAATACTTAAATTTTTAAAATTATGGTAAAAAGGCAGGGTGTGGTGGTGCACACCTGTAATCCCAGCACTTGGGAGGCTGAGGCAGGAGGATTGGTGCAAGTTTGAGACCGGCCTGGGCTACAAAGTGAGCTCAAGGCCACCATGAACTGCAGAGCGAGACCCTGTCAAAAAGAAAAAAAAAAAAAAAGAATGGCTACATGTTATATTTTACATGCTCATATAACTATGAACGATAAGGACAAGGTACTTGCAAAACAGCCCTGTGAAAACAAAAAACAAATCTGCCATAATAAAGTCAAATCAACATTACCACCTAAAGAAAAGCTCTAATTTATATGCAAGCTTTCTCATATTATGTTAGTTAACTTAAAACCCACCTGACTGGAGATGTCCATTTCGGCATGCCAAGTTAGTACTGTCATTATAGACATCCGTTTGTGACTTGGAAAATTGCAAAACTGGTTGCAGCTTCTCTATGCAACAGAGGAGGTTAAAAAAAGAACAAAATAAACAAAAAGAAAAAATATGATGAACAAATAAAATGTGCATGTGAAAAGATTCAAGGTGTTATAAGGTTACATGATGAAGAGTTTTCGCATTTACATACATACTCTTTAAAAATGTAATTAGTAAAAGCTCAGACATGAAATAGCAACAGAAATTAACAAGTGAAAGGCTATATTCAAAATATTCAGGTAGGTAACCTGAGAGAGCTATTATCAGCAAACAGTTACTAAATACCTAATATATCCAAATCACTGTTGGGAGAGCACCATGGAAATTAAAAAAATGAATATGATCTCTACCATTCATAAACTTGTTAAACTGGACTGGGAACTTAGAAAACAATTGTTATTTTTATTTAAAAGAAAAGATTGTATAGTACAAAAGAGACCACTCAAAGGGCTTTATAGAGGAAGTGAGTAATTGGCTAAGATTTGAAAACATAAAAGTCCATTTCAGGAGAATGAACAGCACTTAAGACTGCGCAGAAGGAAACTTTAAGGATTATTCAGATGTATTTGGTTATATTAAATCAGGCAAAAATAAAGGTAATAAAGCAGAGTGAGATAAGCATGCTGCAAAACTGTGTTTACAGCCCCCTACCATCTGTTTAAACACTAATATGTACAGTGATACCTTGGCTGTCAAATGGCTCCAAGTTCAAGCTTTCCACTACTCCAACAGCAAAGTTCAAAAAAAAAAAAAAATCTGTTCAGTGCTCTATTCAATTCCCTAGCTAAAAATCCAACTTGAAAAAACCTGTACCGACCAAGTGCGAGTCATGAGTCGCACCTCACCGGGGATGCAGGCAGTGAGCTTCAGCCTAAGCGTCACTCTTGCCCAGACAACATACAGTGCTGTGTTAGTCCATTAAAACATTCATCACTGTGCTTTCTTTGGGTATGCTTTCTTTGCGTAAAATATTGTTAAACCATGGCTCCAAAGAAAGTGATACCAGCAGTAAAGTTAAGGGGAAAACTGTAAGAACCATGTAAGAGTTAAAGAAATCGTTGCAAAATTTGTTAAAGTCCTGGACAAATGAATTTATAAGTGTAATTTTTGGGTCTCATAACCAATTATTTGGTTTCCATTATTTCTTATGGGAAAAATATGCTCAAGTTTTGAACTTTCTGGTGTTCAAACATGAATATGAAATGAACTGAGTTTGACAACTTTAGTAGCACTACTGTTGCATACACGAAGATTACCTAATACAGCTGTATCTTGAGAGGGGAAATGGCTCAGTGGGGCAGTGTGAGATGGATGCTATTCATACTTGAACACTGAATATTCTACAGCATGTGCATATATTATATGATTTTTCTTTTTTTCTGCGGTACCGGAGATCGAACTCAAGACCTTGCACTTGCCAGGCAGGCGCTTATGCCACTGAGCTATATCCCCAGCCCCTATTATATGGTTTTTAAATTTAATTTTTTTTTTTGAGACAGGGTCTCGCTATGTAGTTTAGGCTGCTCTGGAACTTGAAACAATCCTCCTCCTTCAGCCTCCCAAGTGCTGGGATTACAAACATGGGCTACAATGCCCGGCTATATGCTTTTTAAATTGATAATCTGAAGAGGATTATTTCAACTCTACCCCTACTTCAAATAATAAACATCCTCTACCTAAATCCAGCAAATAAATCTCAAGAGAATAGAAGTTTGATCTTCTCTGCCACTCTAAACCACTCCTGTACTCTTCTCCTATGTAGTCAATCTGAATGCTACCTGATATGCTTTGCTGCACTACTTAACTACATGACCTTGCTTTAACAAGTTTTCCAAGTAATGTACATAAAGTATATATTCTGTGCCTAATGCATAATACAGGCTCAGTTTTACTATGTTTATTTTCCTGAACTATAACAAACCATCGTAACAGGTTCTCATTTTCTACACCAGTATATCAAGAGATACATGAAAATGCAATCAGGGTTACACAGGTTTACCTCAGTAATGGCATTTGCCTAGCATATTGCAAGGGCAAGCAGAAACACAGAAACGACACTCAGGATTTGGAGGCAGATTTATTTATGCCAACAGGCACTGATCTGGATCATTCCCAAGACTATCACACCCTGATCTCTGGTGGTCTAGGGCTTATATAAGATAAGCAAGCAGGAAGTACAGAGGCAGAATGGCTTGTCAATTGGGGACTGGTTTATACAGTGTGCATCACAGTGATTAGCTATGCATCACAGTGACCAGCTGTTTCTAAGAGACAGGAGCAACAGGAACTGGAACAGGAACTATTTCCTGGGCAGCTAAGAAACTGAAGTATACTGGATGAGGGTGCCATTTTCTGTTACAATACAAGAGATCCTGGGTTCAATTCTCCAGTACAGCAAGCAAGCAAACAAAAACACACACACCAGAAGTATACACTAAGTCTCTTAAACTCTGATTTTTAGGGCCAGACAAGTAGGCGCCATGCTTGGTTTATGGTACAACAACACATGCCTCAGGGACAGGTTAAATAGCAGCTTCCCCTTTATACAAAACACAAGGTACTGCACAGCTTTTGTGTCCTAGAACTGGTTGATACAATATACCCTGGAGCTTTTTTGTTGTTGTTGTTGCTGTTAGCTAACAGGTAGGTCATCTGATTTTTCTCAGTGATAATACTGTACTCTTTAAATCATGATACTGAGACATATTCCACTTGATTGGTAAAAGCAGAAATTAGAAACATTCATTGTATAGTAAACAAAATTAAATCCTTTGTTTTCTAATAACTGGAAATAAAAAGAATTCATAGAATTTTTTAAGTGCAACAGAGGTTAGATTTATATATATGGAAACACATAAATACACTATAGCAGGCAAGAGTGGTAGTGCACGCCTGTAATCCCTGCACTCAGGATGCTGAGGCAGTTGTTGAGTTCAAGACGAGCCTGGGCTACAAAGTGAGCTCAAAGTCAGCAGGAACTGCAAAGTGCAATCCTGTCTCAAAAAGAACCCCCCCACCAAAAAAATTATCTTAACTGCCAGGTATGCGGGTCCACGCCTATAATCCTAGTACCTGGGAGGCTGAGGCAGTAAGATTACTATGAGTTTGAGGCCACCAAGGCTACAGAATAGGTTCAAGGCAAGCCTGAACCACATAGCAAGATCCTATCTCAACCCTCCACATCTCCCCAAAAGGAAAGACTCTTATCATGTCATTCTTCTTAAAACCCTTTAGTGGCTACCCAGTGTCCACAGATTAAAGCTCAAGCTCCTTCACGTGACAAACCAGGCCATCCACGATCTTCACCTCTTCTGCCTGAGAAATCTACTTCATGTCTACTAGCCTTCACCCTTCTGTACCTACCAGGCTGCTTCTTGCCTCTAAGCTCCTGTCCAAGCTTTTGCCTGAGCTGGCTTTTCTTGAATTCTTTAAAAACTTGTATATTTTTAAATCCCCTTTGGGTTTTACTTCTTTCTATGAAGCTCTCTTAGATACTTGTTTTCCCACCCAGATATTTATATATATGTCTATTGTACAATGATGATTATCTGCACGTCCTTCTCTCCCACTATGAGGTCCTCAAACAGAAGAACTTTATCCACTCTATCAATAAATCTTATCTCTTCAGCCCTCACATATCATCATTCAACTATCTGTTATCGTATTTCTTGATACAGTCTAACTTAGGCCTCCATCCTTTTCTCTTATATTATTGCAATAGTGCCTGAACTACTCTCCCTATTGATCCATGCAATACACCACCCATGAGCCTTCTAAAATTTAAATCAGATTATATCATTCTTCCCCTAAAAATTCTAACTGTTCCCCATTTCAAAAGTAGTAAAACCTCAAATATTTCCTCACATGGCCTGTAAAGCCCGGTGGTTGTGACAACTCTCGCCCTCCCGCTTAGTTCTCTGACATCATCTATTGCACTCTCCTTGCTGGGGCAACTGGCCTCTTTGCTGGTTCACAAACATACCAGGTATGTTTTCTGTACGGCCTTTCCTGGGCTCTTACTTCTCTCTGGACCATCTGTCTCCCAGATATCTTCATGGTCAACTCATGTAAATCTCACAAATGGAAACCCTCATCATCCAATTCCAAACTAAAAATTCAAGCCACCTCCTAATCTGTTCTGTTTTACTTTTTTTTTGTTCATATATTTATCACTTTTGAATATAATGTGTAACCTACTCTTGATGTTTATTGCCTATTGTCTTCTTGGGTATAAACTCTATGGAGCTGGGACTTTTGTCTATACGCTAAGCATTTACAGTAGTGCCTATCACATAGTTGTCACCCAAGAAATATCTGTTGAGTTAAATACATTCAGTTTATATTCCTTGACACCATACCTAGAGTAGGGACATAATAAACTGATATTGAATGAAGCTAGGTTTAAAAAAATTATAACTGCCAGGAGTACCTGCTGCTGAGGCCAAATTATCCTCTCATCTGGAGCAGCCTTTCTGGTTAAGCTTTGCCCTAAGGTTAACTAATGCTGAATCAAAGATAAATAACGTATATAAACACTTCTCAGTCTTATCGGAAAGGCTATACCTTCTCAAAGCAGTATGTATGGGGAGCTCCCAAGATTATTCTCATTCTCTGTTCTAACTAGATACCTAGCTGGCACTACCTCTCTGTCAACCTGGTTTTTAATCAGCACATAATTCACAAATATGCGTTACTATGCATTTATACACAAATGTTTTCCTTCTTTTCTTCAATTTTCTAAACTGTTTTTTGGTGTATCCATTTGCATACCTCCTAAATTCTGTTTGCCTATCCACTCCTCTCTGCTTTTTCTTTCTTTTTTTTTTTTTTTTCTGGTTTTTCTCCGGTACTGGGAACCGAACTCACGACCTTGCACTTGCCAGGCAGGCGCTTTGTCGCTGAGCTAAATCCCCAGCCCTCCTCTCTGGTTTTAAAGTAACATCTTTTCATGAGATCAGCATGTGCAAGGCCCTGGTGGGTGTTTTTATTTGTTTTCTGTTTTTGTTTTTTTGAGACAGGGTCTTGCTATGTAGCCTAGGCTGGCTTTAAACTTGTGATACTCCTGCAGCCATGTGCCACCAGGCCCAGTAAAAAAGAAAATGAGAAATCTCTGAATTGTTCAATTTGGTTTTTTTTCTTTAAAATTATTCAGTATGAAATGTGTTATAAACTGTTCCATAATCAAACTTGTTTTGTATCATACACGGTATACTACACTTTAAACATACACTGAAAAGTTTTGTTACTAAAACATATACCAAGTACCTATCAGAACAATTCACTGACTGTAACAGCCTTTGCTACATTTAATTATGCATGTGGGTGTATATGTACATTGTGTGTGTACATATATGTGTGATGCTATGGACTGAACCCAGGGCCTCAGGTATGCTAGGCAAGTGCTCTATCACTGAGCTATATCCCCAGCCCTGGTATTTAATTGTACTTCTATGGCATTAACCTTCAAATAAGAAGAAGGCAAACCCTGTTAGCCACAGAAGCCAGGAAACAAACAGTGCCTTGTTAACCATCTGAAAGAGGTCAAGGTTGCTTCAACTATGTGCTGCAAGAAACCTACAAACACAATGAGCATTCAAGAATAATTGAAACCAGTCATGACGGTACAGGCCTATAAACCCAACACTCAGAAGGCTGAGGCAAGGAGGACGGTAAATTTAAGCCCAGCCTGGAGGACACTCTGGAAGACAGAGTAAGCTAAAGATCAGCCTGGACTACACAGAGGGACTTACTCTCAAACAAACAAACAAACAAAAGAATAAATAAATGAATGAATAAAAATACATATGTATGTGAAGATATTTTTCTACCCAACTAGAGTAAATAATTAGATAGGTAAAGCAATGAATAAAACCATCATTTTGGGACAAGGGTAGTGTTTGCTTACTATATATGTTCTAGGCCATAGCTTCAATCCCCAGTACTACAGAACTAATTTTTAAAAATAATTATTATGGGTTAGGTTCCTTTAATAATTCAACAGTCACAAATAGAAATATACATTATCTATCCGTCCATTAAAATTGTATTTTTAAAAAAGGCTCAGATATGCTAACTTACCCCAAATCACAGAGCTACAAACAGGTAAGGCCTGTGTTCTGATATTTGGCCTTTCTTATCAGATATCTACTAATTCTACCATACCACAATACAGCAGAGAATTCATGTATATGTGGTTTTGTTCTTCCTTGTTTTAGGGATAGATCTGCCTTCAGAATATATTTTTAAAACCTATACTATCAAATAGAAGATAAAGAAAAGTTTCAATTCCAGATGATAAAAGCTGAAAGAATGACACTTAAAATATCACTACACATCACAGCTAACTGTTGCTAACCTGCTAAGATAGAGGAACTACTCATGAACATACAATCCATTAGGAAGCAGAACTAACACTAAAAATAAAAATCAACTTGCAATCTAATCCACATACAAGGAGGACAGAAAAATGTGTAAAAGACATAGAAGTGTACACAGCAGTCAGAACATGGGAAGCACTAGGTGACAAAGACTGAACTTCATCAACAAATAAATCATAAGATACAAGAAAAGCAGGTAGACCTGTACAGTAAAAGAGATACATTACATGGATGGTCTTGAGATCTTTTTATTTTGATTTTCAGATCTTACTTCAACAATTAACTTACTAACCAATATTAAAGTTTTGAGTTTTTGGGGGGGTTTGGAGGGTTATTTCTGTTTTTAGCGCTGGAGATTGAACCAAGGGGCTGAAGAAGGCTAAGCAAGCACTCCACTAAGCTACATCTACAGCTCTTTATTAAAAAATTAATTAACTTTGAGTTTTTGTGACAGGGTCTCATTAAGTAATACAGACTTGTCTTGAACTTATGATTCTCTTGCCTCAGCCTCCTAAGTGCTAGGATTATAAGTATGTACCACCATACATGGCTGTCCCTCTATATTTGAGACAGTCTCACTATATTGCCAAGGCTGCCTTCAAACCTGAGGTAATCCTCCTGTCTCAGGAGTGCTGAGATTGCAGGCCTGTGCCACCATGCTCAGCCAGTCTTTAAAATTTTGAGACAGAGTCTAGCTGAATCACTAAGTTGCTAGGCAGAGCACAGGGATTACAGATGTGCACTACCACGCCTGGCTTCACTGCTTACTATTATAATAAAACTTTACAGGGCACACAAGTGCTCCCATTCCTTTATGCATTATCTGTGGCTTACATGCTCTAACGGATGAGTAAAATTGTTGTTGCAGCAGGGACCATAAAATACTTCGTATCTGGTCCTTCTTTTTAAAAAATTTATTATTATTATTATTATTATTATTATTTTTATTTTTATTTTGTCTTTTCTGAGACAGGGTTTCACTGTGCAGTTCAGGCTGGCCTTGAGCTCACCCTGTAGCCCAGGCTGGTCTCAAACTTGCAGTGATCCCTGCTTCAGCCTCTTGAGGGCTGTGATCATAAGCATGTACCACGTGCTAGTTATCTCAAAATTAATAACTTTTACTACTTGTTGTGGTGGTACATGTTTATAATCCACCTATCAGGGAGGCTCAGGCAGGAGGAAAGCAAGATCCTATCAACTACAAAGCAGGATCCTGTCTCAAAAAACCAAGACACAAAAACAGAAACACATGCAGCTCATTGCAAAAGCTCTGGGTTCAATTCTTATTACATCCTTACTTGAAATAAGCAGTGAGTTGAGGTTGACAACAGACTGTCATTTATCAGCCTTTGATATAGAGCAAACAAAAACAGCCATAAACTGGTGATTAACAAAGCTGAGTGAGCTCAGTGACACAGTAAGGAGTTCACACATTTCAAATATATCTCATATACAATTTTACATTAACTGATACCTAGAAGTTGTAAACGATCCTTGGCCATAACCAAATTAGTCATCATTTTTGCTTGAAGACGTCTAGCTCTTTCACACTGTTCACCTAAAATTTAAAAAGAATTCATTAAATTACCTACTATTCTTTGTTAATATTAAGATAAAGAATCACCCCAACTACTCTCATGGAAATCAAAGTCTTTATAAAGAAGTTTTTAAAATATTATTTTCAAATAGTATCTATTAAAAAAGTCGGCTATGGGTTTCTCATGATACTTTCAAACCTACATGGTATTTTACACATTTCATGAAACCTAAGACGTTTTTCACCTATCTTTCAAAATCCTTGAAACTGAGGTGCATTTTATCATCAGTGAGAATTTACAAATGCTTTCAGCCAGGCTGCCCTCATAGTTTGTCCCTACCTATGCATGCACATGTTTGTCATGGATATTAATACTGTTCTTGTATCTTAGTAAGACCAACACATTGTATTTGATAACACTAAAATTCAAATTGTGAGAGACACAGACACTTTATTATAGTTTAGTTTGCAGGTATTCCTTAGTGATAAAAGAGAAGACTTTTTTTATTTAATAAAATAGTTTTTCTTACAACTAATCCACTGTCTTCTAACTTTACTTCCATGTAGCTAACAAAGAACTCCACATTCAGCAAGGTCTCCAAGCCCAGCCCCCCACCATATTTACTTGCTTTATTTTGCTTTCTTTTACACAGCAGACCAGTAGCCAAAGTAGTCATTACAATACAAAGGGAAGGAAAAAGGCTGGGTTAATATTGTACACACTATAGTTATGTATTAGAGATCAACTTTAGAGTACAGTTAGTGGCTACCCAACAGAGAGCTGTTGAATGGGTTGATTCGTAGCCTGAATAATTTTTACTTTTCAATTCGTTTTAGCTATGATAAAATGAAGTACAACCATGTGCTACATAAGGACATTTTGGCCAACAATGGACCAAATGTAGAACAATGGCCTCAAACATGCTGGTGTAAACAAACTTAGTTGTAGGACTGTGGGTTCAGTTCCCAGCAAAGCAAAGCAAAACAAACAGAAGAAACACTACCCACAAGTGCAAAGGAAATCTGTGGATTAATACAAATTTTTCTCCATGATAATGAAGAAACCAGCAGGTTTCACAACAGGACTAAAGTGCTGGGTACAGTGGTATAGGCCTGCATCCCAGCACTTGGGAAGGTGAAGGAGGAAGATCACCATAAATTTAAGGCTAGCCTGGGCTACGTAGTGAGTTTAAGGTCAGCCAGAAAACAAAGCAAGACCCTGTCTCAAAGAACAAAAGAAAACGAAACAAAATCCAGGCCTAAAGCATTAGAATGATGACCAATAGTGGCTCTAAAGACATCGTAAGTAACGTACTACTTGCTACACATAATCAAGTTTGAATATAACCAGTTACAACTTCATTTTTAGAATAGATAATAAAACATTAACTGTTCATCTATACATGTTAGCAATAACATTTTAAAATGTCTATCTTTATTAAGAGAAAAAGTATCTGAAACCAGGGTATTTACATAAACTCAGGCATTTTCCCTGATCTGCAGTTTTGCTTTTGGGAATTTCAGTTACCTGTGGGCACCTGCAGCCCCAAAATATTACATGAGCCAGGCATGGTGACACACTCCTGTAATCCCAGTACTCAGGAGGCTGAGCCAGGAGGATTGCCATGAATTCAAGGACAGCCTGGACTATATAGTGAGACCCTGTCTCAACAAAACAAAACAACACAAAACAAAAATGTAAAAAGGCCAAGAAAAAAAAAAAGAAAAAAGGCCAAGAAATACACAAGTCATATATGTTAAACTGTGCATTCTTCAAAGAAATGTAATTAAAGCTCAACTGTCCAACCCATGATGTGACTCTTTCCTTCTTCAAACAAATTCATGCTGTACTGTATATGCTACACTGCATTAAGCAGCCACTTTGGCTATCAGTCTAGTACATATAGCTTGGTAGGGTCAGTTTCAGGCATCCACTAGGGGCCTTGAAACATATCCTCTGTTGAAAAGTGGGGATCACTGTCTAATATAAACTAGCTGTGAACAAATACAAACATAACCTTACCTTGTCCCGTAACTATGACAGCTATTCCTTTCTCTAGTTCTTCAATACCTTTCTTATACCATTCCACAGCTTGCTCCTTCTGTCCTGCTTTAAAACAGAAATCATTATTTGTACATAATGTAAGTATGAAGAGTATATGTCTACACCATACTACCCTGAATGCGCCTGATCTCCTCTTAAGAGTAGATCCCACATTTATCAAACCATGCTGGTGATAGGTGATGTACAGAAAAGCTGTAATGAAGTAAGTCTAACAAACATTGCTATATGACTTCCTAGTACTTTTGGCAACTTACTATGTACATCAATCTCCAACATGGCCAGTATATATGTCTGCCAACATTTTAAGGCTATGAATATGTTTTTGTTTACTGTCTCATAACCCAGATGCTTGTAACAACTGAAATGTTGCACTAGGAAAATAAATTTTATTTAGAGAACATTTAATAAGTGGTTTTGAATATACTGTTGGAAAATATAAATACGATTTCAATGATAGTGAGGGAAAAGCACTATTTAATCTAATTATATTCAAATCTAATATAACATGCTTATTGCTGGGTGGCTCATGTTTTTTTCTTTTTTTGAGACAGGGTTTTACTCTATAGTTCAGGCTGGCCTTGAACTCACTATGTAGCCCAGGCTGGCCTCAAACTCACAGCAATCCTGCCTCAGCTCCTGACTGCTGAGATTACGGGTATCTCCCACCACACCCAGCTTCAAGTTTTTATATAACATGACTGTGTCATGACAACTAGTACATTTCAAGTGTGGCTTTAATTACAAATTATCTATTTCCTTTGGACCAAATGACTGATTTAAAACATTAATTCATGATACAAATTAAGCTGTAAAAGGTTAAGCTAAAAGTTTAGCATAGTCAAAATATATATACAGTACTTCTGAAAGTGGTAATTATATGGAAATCTCATTTTACTTTCTTTTTGTTTTGTTTTTGAGACATGGTTTGAAGTTTAGGCTGGCCTTCAACTGACTACGTAGCCTAGACTGGCCTTGAACTGTGCCTCGGCCTCTTAAGTCCTAGGATTACAAGTATGTGCCACCATGCCTAGCAAATCTCATGGTTTCTGAAAATTAATTTCTTAGTCCGTAGGGAAATTCTATCTCAAAAAACCAAAATAAATAAATAAAAAATAAACACTACATACAGGAACAAAGAAATGTTCCTTATGTGTGTGTACATACTAATCCTTCATTTCTTTATCCAGAAAATAAATCACTAACTAGATCCTGCCCCACTATACAGGGCAACCCCCAACACATCTCTTCTCACCTTCGCTCCCTTTTTTCCTTTTTCCTTCCTTCCCTCTCCTACCCTTTCTTCCTCCCCTGTGTATACTAAGTACGTGTGCTCTACTACTGTTACTCTCCAAGCCCCAGTTTCTTACTTATTCCAGTATCATTAGCGCTTTTACTGTGCCTGAGAGAGAATAACTACTCGACAAGTATGTGACAGGACAACCCAATTGCGACCTCTCCTGTCTCTCAGGAGCCATTCTTATTCCCTAATACATACTGCTCTCTTAAAAAAAAGTTTGTGACAATGACATGAAATTATGAGTTTGTTGTAAATGAAATTATGAGTTTGTTGGTTGCTCATGTTCCTGCTTTTAATAAAGAAAATACCTGTCCACACGTATCTGGGGAGTTTTCAGTTTGAACAAAAGGAGAAAATAGTATAATAGCATCTGCATCTTGAATGGTAAGAATTTTAGCAATAATATTCTATTTGTTACAATTTAAAAATAAAGAAAAACCAGGAGTACCTCCTAACAGACACCAGAGAAGTTCATCACTACACCTCTATCTATGCCCATCCTCCTCTCCCAGAAGCCACTCCTGCACGTCCAGTGTAGTACACACTTTTCTTTTTTTTTTTGGCGGTACCAGGGATCAAACTCAAGACCTTGCACTTGCCAGGCAGGTGCTTATGCCACTGAGCTATATTCCCAGCCCCTAGTACACACTTTTCTACTATTGTTATTTTCATATTATTTTAAAAATTTGCACATCTCTATGATGAATATGATCATTAAGTATATCTAAAACATACCAAAATCTGATTTTAAAAATACATACAATTCACGTTCCCTTTAGAATCTAGCTATATTGCTATATACAGATCTCTAGTGATACTTTGGTTGCGGATTCCAAATTTGTGTTCAAACAATGAACATCTTTTTCCATAAGAAATAATGGAAACCAAATAATTGGTTCTGAGGCCCCAAAATTGCACTTATAAATTCACTTGCCCAGGACTTTAACACATTTTGCAGCGATTTCTTTCTTTATCATGGTTCTCAGAGTTTTCCTCTTGCCTTTACCACTGTTATCACTAACTTTCTTTGAAGTCATGGTTCTATTTTATACATATAAAGTGCATACACACAAAAGCACGACGACGAATGTTTTAACACACTAACAGAAGCACTGTAATTGTCAGGGTGAGAGCGGCCCTCAGACCCAGCGTTGCCCCTGTGTCTACTGTGAGATGCAACTGGTGACTCACTCTTGGTTGTACAGGTTTTTTCTTTTTTTTTTTGAGACAGGGTCTCGCTATGCAGTTCAGGTCAGCTTTTGAGCTTACTTTGTAGCCCAGCCTCGTCTCAAACTCATGACAATCCTTCTGCCTCAGCCTCCCAAGTGCTGGGATTACAGGCGTGAGCCACCATGCCCGGCTTGTACAGGTTTTTTCAAATTTGGATTTTCCATTTGACTATGGAGCAAAGTTGTGAAAACTGAGCAGATTTTTTTTGAACTTTGCTGTTTGAATAGTGGCAAGCTGGAGGCTGGAACTGTCCAGCAAGTGAGGTATCACTGTAGCTCATTAATTTTTACTTTTGTGTACGGGTGTTTTTTTTTTGAGGCAGGGTCTTGATAATGTAGCTCAGGCTGGCTTTTACCTGTGTAGTCCACGCTGGCCTCAAACTCATGGAGATCCTCTTCTCATCACCTACTGAGTGCTGCAATTACAGGTATGCACCACCATACCCAGCTTCTGTATAGTATATCATTTTATAATTAACTAAATTTCAGAAGATAGTGAAAATGTTTTCAATATTCCAAAAAATGCCCCAACAGAAATTCTTATACTTGTCCCCTAATGTATATTGGCTAATTTCTATCTTTTTTTTTTTTTGAGAAAGACTCTTGTTATGAATTTCAGGGTGGCCTTGAACATACTACATAGCACCAGCTGGCCTCAGACTCATGGTGATCCTCCCGCCTTGGCCTCCAAAATGCTGGCATTACAGGCATGTGCTACCACATACACCTGGCCCAGCCAGTTTGAGTGCATATGGTTTTTGAAAAATTTCTGAGTTTATCACACTTTTTTCATTTACCAGGTATGAACTGCTTTTCAAGAAAGCTTGCAACAACTTAGTCTTAACAGCAATATATGAGACTCCTCATTGGCAACATCTTTATCCATGTTTGACTGTCATTTATGCACTGCCTAATTTATTTTACACAGAGTCTGTGTTGACCAGGCTGGGCTTGAACTCTGGGGTTTCACGGTTTAACTGACCCTCCCACTTGCACCTGGAGAGTAACTGGGACTAGAAGATGAGCCATTATGCCAGACTAATTTTTTAAAACGTACACAGTGGACAGAACTTGCCGATTGTTTTTTAATGAAGGAAGGAAAGAAGGAAGGATCTTTCAGCAGACACACAGAACTAGCTGATAAAAATTAATTTCATTGATGCCCAGAAGAGCCAGGTGATGGCTCGTGCCTGTAATTGCAGCACTCAGGAGGCTGAGGCAGGAGAACTGCTGGGAGTTTGAGGGCAGCCTGGACTGTGTAGGGAAACCTGGTCTCAAAAAAAAAAAGATGCCCAGAAGATGTGACAGAGGACTGTGGCTGATTCCCAGGTAGCCCTGAACAAGAAATTATACCCATCTTTGAAGGCAGGAGTTGGCAAATGACAGTCCATAACTTCTACTGATCATCCTTTTCATTAACCATAGTAGAAAAATAAAAACTTCCAAAAGTTTCCAGTGGGAAAAAAAAAAAAAACCTCAAAGATGCAACAATATTAGTTCTCTCTCTCTCTCTTTTTTTTTTTTTTTTGGTCTTTTTGAGACAGGGTCTCGCTATGCAGTTCAGGCTGGCCTTGAGCTCACTTTGTAGCCCAGGCTGGTCTCGAACTCACAACAATCCTCCTGCCTCAGCCTCCCGAGTGCAGGGATTACAGGTGTGCACCACCACACCTAGCCAATATTAGTTCTCAATAGTTCATAGTTCCCCATTTACATTTCCTTTTTAAGCCCATCGCCCCAAATAAACTCACAGATTACATCAAATTAATAACGGATTAGGGTGACAGGAACTTAGATCTACTTCTTGGGGTTTTTGTTTTGTTTTGTTGCTTTTTGGAGACAGTGTTTCGCTAGGTATTTCTGACTGGACAGAACCCACGCTGATCCTCTGGGCTAAGCTTCCTGAGCACTAGGATTACAGGCATGTACCACCACATCCAGTAAGAATAGTTTTTTTTTTTTTAATACAAGCTAGGTATGGTGGCACACACCTATAATACCAGCACTCAGGAGGCTGAGCTAGGAAGATCACTGAGAGGTCAAGGCCTACACAGTACGGCTCTAACAAACTAAACAAACCACCCCAAATGGCTCTCTACAGGCAGTTTGCTTACCTCCTGGTATATAGCAATGAAAATGGACAAATCATTGCAACACACAACACAACTTAAGCTTACAAATAATGCTGAGCAAGAAAAGCTATGTACACAAAGAACACACTTTGCACTACTTCATTTACAAAGCTCAAGGTCAGGCAAAATTAAATCTACCATGTTAGGAGTTAGGGTTGTAGATATCTTTGCATAGGACAGGGCAAAGTAGTGAGCAGCAGGGAGCATGAGAAAGGCAAGTTTCTCAACCATTATTCTATTGCTTGACCTGAGAGGTGTTACAGTTATGGTTTACTCAAAATTCATCAAATAATAGTTTACTCTGTGTTTTTTTAAAAAAGTGTTCTGATGTTTAATCTTGGTTGTCAATTTGGGTGGCAGGAGAGATGTCCAGATTAATAAAGCACACTC